AGTCACAGGATGTGGTTCAGAACTTGCATTCTTTTTTTTTTTTCTTTTAACATATTGGTTACTCAATACTACGTCAACTAATTCCATAACGTTATAAATTGTTACTGATGTAATGTTGGGGCTTTTAATTGATTGGGATGATACTCTGCCAGCTCTACCTTCAGACCAGAGATGGTCTCTCCAAGGAACTGTTGAACTTACCAGGATAATAAGATGCATAAATGCTTGGTAGATGCTTGCAATGAAAGAATCTCAACTGAATTTGAACTGTGGTAATGCAACAAGGTGGAGGAATCCACCATGGGGGTGGTTGGGGAGGGGAGGGGAATCCCAGTGCCTATAAAACTGTGTTACATAATGCAATGTAATCAATTAAAAAAAAAAAAAAGACACAAGAGACACAGAAAAAAAAAAAAAAAGGATTGATTGACATCCCAGAAGTACAGTGGGTTTAACATGGAGCTACCTAAGCAGCAATTCAAAGCCCCCAAATCCCTGAGCTGGCTGCCAGGGGGCCAGCAGGTGGAGCCTGGTGGCTGGAAGTTTTAATCCCCAGACCCCAAGATCGCCCCTTCTCCAATCCCATCCACTACAGAATGATGGCAGCGGGTGGGGCCCAGGCCCACCCAGCTCTCCAGACTTCCTCCTTCAGTGTACTCACCATGAAGGGAGCAGCCTCTGGAGTTCAGGCAGGCCCAGGGACAGGTCACCGCGTGAACACAGGGTGCTGGAAGTTTTAATCCCTTGAATTTGTTCTTTTGAAAAATGTCTGTTCATTTCCTTTGTCCATTTTATTACAGGGTTTTTTTTTTGGGAGGGGGAGGATTCTGTCCCTGGGTTTCTGAAGCTCTTTGTAAATCCTGGATATTAGTCCCCTATCACTTGTGTAGTGTGCAAAAATTTTCTCCCATTCTATTGGTTACTTCTTCACTTCATTGTTTCCTTTGCTGTATGGAAGCTTTTTAGTTTGATGTAGTCCTGTTTGTTCAATTTGGCTTCGATTGCCTTTGCTTTTGGTGTCTTTTCTAAGAAGTCTTTCCCTGTTCCTGTATCTTGGAGTGTGCTTCCTATGCTTTCCTTTAATAGTCTGATGGTTTTGGGGTGTAGATTTAGCTTTTTCAACCATGTAGAGCTGATTTTCATATAATGTGACAAGTGTGGTCTTGCTTCTACATCTGCAAGCTGCTATCCAGTTGTCCCAACAGCATTTATTGAAGAGACCAAGTTTTTCCCTGGATTGTTTTTAGTTTTCTTGTCAAAGATTAGTTGACAATACAAGTGTGGGCTCGTTTCTGGTGTTTCTATTCTGTTCCATTGATCTTCTCTGTTTCTGTAACAGTACCAGACTGTTTTGATGACCACTGCTCTGTAGTATGTCTTGAGGTCTGGAATTATGATTCCTCCACTTTGATTTTTATTCCTCAGGATAGTTTTGGCTACTTGTGGTCTTTTGGGATTCCAGATGAACTTTTGTATCATCTTTTCTATTTGTGAAAAGAATTTTATTGGGATTTTGACTGGGATTGCGTTGAATCTGTATATTATTTTTGGTAATATGATCATTTTGATGATGTTGATCCTGCCAATCCAGTAACATGGTAAGTTTCTCCATTTTTCAAAGTCTTCTATTTCATTTTTAAATGTTTTATAGTTTTCCTCATAGAGGTCTTCCACATATTTAGTTAGCTTAATTCCTAGGTATTTAAGATTCCTCTCCTCTTTCTCGTTCATGGATGAGAAATTTCTTTCTCATTCATGGAATTATTTATGTACACTAGTGCCATTGATTTGTGTTCATTAATTTTGTATCCTGCTACTCTGCCAAAGTCTCTTATGAGTTCCAACAGTCTCTTGATGGAGTCTTTTGGTTTTCCTATGTAGAGAATCATGTCATCTGCAAATACAGTCAATTTCATTTCCTCTTTTTCAATTTAGATTCCTTTTATTCTTTTTCTTGCCTAGTAGTTCTGGCAAGGACTTTCAATATTATATTGAAAAATAGTGGTGACAGTGGACATCCCTGCCTAGTTCTAGATTTTAGTGGGAGGTTTCCAATCTTTCTCCATTTAGTATGATGCTGGCATTGGGTTTTTCTTGTGTTGTTTTGATTGTGTTGTAGAATGTACCTTCTATGCCTATCTTTTTTTTTTTATGCCTATCTTCTTTTTTATGCCTATCTTGCTTAGGGTTTTCAGCATGAAGTGGTGTTGGATTTTATCAAATGCCTTCTCAGCATCTATTGAGAGGATCACATGGTTTTTGTTTTACAATTTGTTGATGTGATGTATCACATTTATTGGCTTATTTATTTAAAAAAATAGTAATCAGGTGGCGGGCACTATTGTGTAGCAGGCTAAGCCTCTACTGGCTTTCCCACATAGATGCCAACTCATGGCCTGGCTGTTCCACTTTTTTTTTTTTTTAAAGAATTTATCTATTTTTATTGGAAAGTCAGATATACAGAAAGGAGAGACAGAGAGAAAGATCTTCTACCCGATGATTCACTCCCCAAGTGGCCACAACAGCTGGAGCTGAGCCCCCATCCAAAGCCAGAAACCAGTAGCCTCTTTTGGGCCTCCCACGTGGGTGCAGGGTCCCAAGGCTTTGGGCCATCCTCAACTGCTTTCTAAGGCCAAAAGCAGGGAGCTGGATGGGAAGCAGAGCTGCCAGGATTAAAACCCGGCACTCATACGGGATACTGGCACGTGCAAAGTGAGGAGTTTAGCCAATAGGTTATCATGCTGGGCCCCTGCTCCACATCTGATCCAGTCAGTGCTTAGGGTCTGGGAAAGCAGCAGGAGATGGCTCAAGTCCTTAGGCTCCTGCGATCATCTGGGAGACCCAGAGAAATGTCCTGGCTCCTAGCTTTGGATAGGTTCAGCTTCAGCCATTTGGGGAGTGAACCAGCAGATGAAAGATCTGTCTCTCTCTTTCTCTCTATAACTCTGCCTTTCAAAACAAGACAAAACAGAGTTCATCCTAATATATGGGAAGATTCAATGATCTACATATGCAGTGCTTTCCAGAATTTTAAAACTTCTATTTCAGTAATTCCTAAAATGGCTCAACAATGCCCCCAAATAAATGAGGCTCATGTTTCAAACCATAAAACAAAGTATCGCATTTCACTTTAAATTCTCCCTTTGTCCATAGCAGAAGTTAATTTTTAAAAGGTATTTTTTATTTTTGAAAAGGCAGCAAGAGACAAAGATCTTCTATCTGCTGGTTCACTCCCCAAATGGCCACATCAACCAGGGATGTGCCATGACAATGCCAGGAGCTTCCTCTGGGTCTCCCATGTGGATACAGGGTCCCAAAGACTGGGGTCATGCTCCCCTGCTCTCTAAGGACAGATGCAGGGAGCTGGATCAGAAGTGGAGCAGCCAAGACATAACTAGATGTCCATATGGAATGCTGGTGCTTGCAGGAAGACAATTAGCCAGTCCAGCCATCACATCAGACCCATGTCAAATGTTTTAATTTTTAAAAATGGTTTATACTTACTCTTAGAGATGGAGTTTCCTGAAGAATTAAACATAAAATTAATGTCCCTCCCAAATGTATTCTACTAAATATAAGCTTATTTTTCTCCAGTCATAAAACAGACAAAGGATTCATTGTTCTCTAGTTTTATTACTTTTTAATTTTCCCAACACATTAACTAACTTGTTTTGAAATTTTTTTTCAGTGCATTTCACAGCAAAATGGAAAGGGAATCATTAAAATGGTTGTACATAAACCAATTCTTGTAATTTACAGTTTGTTCAAAAATCTGTTTTGCTGTTTTCACCCTATCCATCCCTCTAACAGAACACACTTATCAGAGCACAAAGCTTACACTTCTTAATGATGATGCAACAGACGCGGCCATCTACAATGGCTGGTGAATAACAGGTTCATGTTCCACACATTGATTGGAAGACTACGCAGGGAGAAAGAGTAAGGCACCACTCTTGGAAAATTAAGGTAGCTTGCAGTAACAAGTGCTGAGCACCACACGCAGGTGCTTGGTAAATACTTGAATGAAGAAAGCCATCATTAGCACTATTCATTGCCAACAATTCTTCCACCTCAATAAAATACTTATTTAAAAAAGAAAAAAAAAAGATTTGTACCTGAATACAACTTCCTAATATCTTTCTTATTATTATTTCATACTTTCTTCAATATTTAAATTTCCTTGAAAAGAAAAGCCATACCTTATATACACTCAGTCACACAGATAACTGAATTCCTGACAAGTAGGAATAGCCATGTGGTTTAATTCTCGAGTGAACAGAGGTAAAATAAAGCATACATATCCAGAGGGATAGTACATAATACTGGATATTAAGCTACAGATGAAAGGAAAAAAAAAAAAAGGAAAAAAAGTAACAGTTTTAATTTTTCATATCTGCTATTTTCTTTAATGCCTTAGTTCTCAAGAAAGGCCAGAACCTCATCATACTGACATTAACACATTTTAAAAAATTTTCTCACAAGTGTAATATTTAATAAAACTAGGTATTGAAAAATGCTCTGAAATTTTTCAAGTCAATGTCGTTTTCAAGTATATTAAAATGCTCAGAAGAAAAAATCCTCCATGGTTACACCTCTAGTCAATTTATAAATAGAATTTTTAAAAGAGTGTTCCAACTGAGGTGGGTGACGGGCACGTTGCTCACGCACAGGCACACAGTCTTTATGAAGAAACAGAATGCCTTGTTACTACAGCTCGGTTGGATTTTTTGTTTTTGTTTTGCTTTTAACACTGATTTCAGGCACAATGGCTGAATCCACGTCTAGGTCATGTTCTTTCTCCTCTTGCTTGTTTTTTAAGAGTAGTGAATACTTCAGTTACAGACAAAAGGCAAAACACAAACTCTGAAAGAGACCTCACGTTTTACTACAAAGAAATCAAAGTCATTGAGTTCTCATGGTCTTCTATCTGCTGCCCCTGTGCAAAAAATAGGGGAGTCCCACTTAGCCTTCGGAGCAAGAACTGGAGAAGGGCTGAGTCAGTTAAGAATCCAGGTAAAAGGTTTTCAGGTGGTATTGCTCGCATCCTGTGAACAGAGTGGTGAGAGGGCCACTGTGTTTCCCCAACACTTTGGTCTCGCTGCAGTCTACCGGGGCCCCAGTGGCTACATTCATGTTGAGCTAGCTTCAGTGTGTGCAGCTGGGAAGCAGGTCACTCAGTGCGATGACTCCATTCTGGGAGGGTTTGGGGTAAACACAGAAGAACCGCATTTGGTCGAGTCTGAGAAAGCATGTGTCACTCCGCTGGCTGTGTGCTTGGAATTACTTTCCAGAGGGGTTTGTGATAAACCCAGCCATCTCCCTGAAAGAAGTCCAAGAAAAACAATCAGTCTTCCACTCTGAAAAACTCTAACCACAACTGGAAGCACTTCACTGTAATGTAACGCTTCTTTGTGAAGACGCAGTCTCTTCGCCTAAGACTTCACATAATGCCTACAGTTTAATGAGGATTACATGAGAACGCTAATATGGGACGACTCAAGATGCTTTCTTTTGCAGAAGACATTATCTCAGAGCTACAGGCAGCAAGGGGAACACAAAGACACAGTCCAAGCAAAAGATGTTGCCCATCTAAACTTGTATCTCTAGAATGTGGTGTGCTTTGGGATTTTCTGGCCCTTTTCTGACTCTCTACCATCATTAGCTTCCCCTGGTTCTGGCCTCTCCTGTAAAAGGAGACAACATTGCAGTTGCAAAGTGAAGCAGAGTCCAGTGAGGAAAAGCCTGAAGCAAAACTCAAAAGCAGCACAGTGGGGTTGCAACTTGGCTGAGTTCAGTATTAATGGGTCAGATTTAAACCTCGGTCCTCAGCCTCCATAGCTCCTTCAACTCATATGTGTATTTTCAAAGTTTGCATATTTATTATACTTTGTTACAAAATGTCTTAGGAGTTGTCAGTTGTTTGGTTCATAGTGCTGGACTTCGCACCTTGAAGAAATTAGGCTCCTCTTAGCATCTCTCCACCCCTGCCACTTTCTGAGATGTATTTATTTATTTGAAAGGCAGAGTTAGAGGGGGGAAGTGAGCTCTTCCATCTTCTGGTTCATTCTCTGAGTGGCCACCGTTGCAGGCAGGGCCAGGTTGAAGCCAGGAGACTGGAGCCAGGAGTTTCCTCCAGGTCCCCCAAGAGTTGGCAGGGACTTCAGCACTTGTACCATCTGCTGCTGCTCTTCCCAGGCCCTTAGTACAGAACTGCACAGGAACTGGAGCAACCAAGGACCCAAACCAGCACACATACTGATAGCAGCTTTCCCTGCTCTATTATGATACCAGCACCATCAGCTCTGGCTCATAATTTATCTTCCTGAGATTTATTTAAAAATAATGAACAATAATATATATTTTTAATCTTCACATTGAACACAGACTTGAGTGCATCAGACTTCTATATAAGAGATGGTCTCTCATATCAGCTGACTGTTGGGGAACACATTGCTGTAAGTGTGCTTAGGTGATGTCCCCGATGCTACACAATGTCCTCTTACATTACTCCAAAATCTTGCTTCCTGGTAGAAAGTTCTTTGTGATAAGCTCCCAATTTTTGACAAAGCATATACTAAATGGCACCCATGATTTGGTTCTCTGCTAACCCTCTCCACATGTTACCACTTTACGATCCACTAGGTATCCAGTTACATCCGTCACGTCTCTCTCAAAATGTGGTCTTTGGAAGTGAAGAGCATTTGGTACAAAAGGCAGTGAATAATAAGTTGCATTTGCTTTTTTGGTAACTGAAGATTCTGCTACCATTTGCATCTGTGGCCAATTTAGATTCTTAAATATATTGCATCTGAACTGCACTTAAACCAAATTGATTGGACAAAGTGTGAAATGCCCATTAGAAATCTCATGATTAGGGTGTACTACTTCTAAAAATAAAACTGGATACAACTAAGCCCAGTAAACCCTAGTCCCTACTCAGCAGATCCGAGCTTTGGCCAGCACCCACAAATGGCATACCTCTTTAACAAAATATTTGGTCTTCCAGGGAGTGCCTGTTTCAGTACGATGCCTTTCTTCAGCTCTCTGGCGTTCTTCCAGGGTTCGCTTATGCTCTGTGGCCTTGTCAATCTCAGATTCTCTCAGAGAGTCAGTCACATTTTTCCATAATCGCCTGAAATACAAAAACTACATATTTTACACAATCTCTAAAGAAAAGATAACTGAATAGAATGGACAGCCTTCAATATTATATTAATTTAAATATATATACATATTTGATACATTTATATTTTAAAGGTTTTTTTTCACATTATAACAATTTTTTTTAAAGATTTATTTTTATTATTTTTTCATTGGAAATGCGGATATACAGAGAGGAGAGACAGAGAGGAAGATCTTCCGTCTGATGATTCACTCCCCAAGTGAGCGCAACAGCCGATACTATGCCTATCTGAAGCCAGGAGCCTCTTCCGGGTCTCCCACGCGGGTGCAGGGTCCCAAAGCTTTGGGCTGTCCTCGAATGCTTTCCAGGGCCACAGGCAGACAGCTGGAAGGGAAGCGGGGCTGCCGGGATTAGAACCGGCGCCCACATGGGATCCCGGGCGTGCAAGGTGAGGACCTTAACCACTTGCACCACCGCGCCGGGCCCTATAACAATTTCTAAAGCTTATTTTTAAAACCAGCTCTGTACTTTCCTGCCCAAGAGCTACAAGATCACTGACACTGCTCCTGTCCATGATGCTGATTCTCTTGAAAGCAAAATAATCTGTATTTTCCCAAGCCATACAGGAAGCTGCTTATTTATTTTTTAAAAAGACTTTTATCTGGAATGTTTACAAAGGGGTAGAGACAGAAAATCTTCTCTCTGATGATTCACCTTCAAGATGGCTGAAAGGCCAGGCCTGGGTCAGGTCTGGGACAGGTCTGGAGCTTCTTCCAGGCCTCCCACACAGGTAGCAGGGACCCAAATATGTGGGCTAGCTTTTGCTACCTTTCCCAGCCATTAGCAGGGAGAAACAGAAGTGGATATCCTATGGGATATTGGCATTACAGGTGGTGGCTTTACCCTCTATGCCACTACACAAGCCTCAAAGATTTTTATAAGGATTAACAAGTAAAAAGTAAAATAAACTTCAAAAAATTTTAAATCTGTTTTTATTGGAAAGTCAGATTTACAGAAAGGAGAGACAGAGAGCAAGGTCTTTGGTCCACTGGTTCACTCCCCAAGTGGTTGCAACGGCCGGATTGAGCTGAAGTCAGAAGCCAGGCTCTTCTTACAGGTCTCCCACACGGGGATAGGGATCCAGGGCTTTGGATCGTCCTCTACTGCTTTCCCAGGTCACAAGCAGGGAGCCGGATGGGAAATGGAGCAGCCAGGATACAAACCAACAGCCATATGGGATCCTGGCACATGTAAGGCCAGAACTCTAGCCACTAGACTACCATGCATCAGGCCCAGAAAAATAAACTTAAAATGCTAATATATAAACGCAGACTACCTGTGTTTTGGACACAACGAGGACCACATTTATTCTCTTGTCTCTGTTGAGCAGGAAACCAGACAAAGGTGTTTAGCAAACAGGTAGGTATAGGGCAGTGATCTTTCAGACAGGGAAATAAATGAGAGGAGTATGTTGGGCGCTACAGCAAAAAGATGAACTCACAGCCTTACATCACATCACAGACAGAAACTAATTCAAAATGGACCATAGGCCTCAATGTAGAAGAAAAAAATAGCCAATACAACTTCTAGAAGGAGATATGGGAGAAAATCTTGGAGGTTTTGGATAAGGCAAAGATTCTTTGGATGTAATATCAAAACTACAGTGAATAAAACAAAACATTAATAATTCTACTTCATCAAGAGTAAAATCTTTTATACTATAAAAGCAACACTAACAGAACGAGAAAAGATAGTGTGCTAGATGAAAGTATTTGCAAAACAGATATCCAAAAACTGTCATCCACAATTTACCATGAATTCTCACAAACAATAAGATAAACAACTCAAATAAAAAATAGATAAAGGATATAAAACTGTAACTTCATCAGAAGATACACAAATGGTTAAAAGTAATAAAAACAGAAACAAAATCATTATCAGCAAAGAAACACAAACACCACAAAGTGACAGTACTGGGCACAAACTAGAATGGGAATAATAAATAAGACTTGGGATTAGTGTTTGGTCTAGTGGCTAGGATGCCAATACTCTATATCCAAGCACCTGAGCTCCAGTCCCGGCTCTATTCCCTGTTCCAGGTTCCTGCTAATGCGTACCCCAGGGGCCAGCAGATGATGGATTGGAATGCTTGAGTCCCAGCTGCCCACATGGGAGACTTGGATTGATTTCCAGTGTCCTGAGTCTGGTCTAGCTCAGAATCAGCTGCTGCAGACATCTGTGGAGTGAGCCAATGGATGGAAGGTCTCTCTGACTCCCAAACAAAGACAAACAGCAGCAAATGTTGAGGATGCAGAGCAAAGGGAACTATATTACATGCCTGGTGGGAATATACAATGATGCAGCTGTTTTAGAAAACAGTTTTGCAGTTTTTCCAAAAGTTAAACATAAAATGGTTATCCAACTCTGCAATTTCAATCCTAGGTATTTATCTAGGAGAAATAAAAGTGCATGACCACACAAAGATTTGTAAGACAATTCTCCTGACAATGCTCTGATTCATCACAGTCTCAAACTGGAAACGCCTATCAACTGCTGAGTAGATGGCAAAATGTGATGTGTCCACACAATGTAATGCTATACTCATCAACAAAAAAGGGTAAACCACTTATACATGCCATGTCAGGGACGAGCTTCAAATCACTAGGCTAAGGAAACAAGCCAGGAATATAAGCTCATATATTGGATCATTTCATTGACATGAAATGTTGACACAAGACTGAAAGTGGTTGTGATATGATCACAAATACACTGCAGCTATCTTCTGCGGCTCCTGGCTCATAAATGCTTTCCCAAAGCAGACCAAAGAAACTAGACTTCCTTTCTGCCAATTAGAAACCCTCATCTTCCTCACCTTTCTCCGATACCCCTTGGCTGACAGAAGAAGACCTCCATTTTAGAGGGAGTCCCTTGCCATGGCCAAGAGGAAGAGACACTTTGCAGAGAGGCCAGGAATCACTACAGCAGATAATCCCTGTAAAGTCTACTGGCATTAGATATGTAAAGAACTTTCCATAAAAATCCGCAAACACAGGAACTGGAGAGCTCCTACAAAGCTGAACACATGCAGGTTTCCGCAGGGTGGTACACCCAGAGAGCACACATGCTCCAAGCCCCCTTGTCCCGCCCTGCCCTATGTACCTTCCCATCTGTCACATCTGGAATACTTTCTTTCCTTCTTTCCTTCCTTCCCTCCTTCCTCCTTCCTTCCTTCCTTTCTTCCTCCCTCCCTCTCTCCCTACTTCCTCCCTCCCTCTCTCCTCCCTTCCTCCTATCCTCTCTCTCTCTTAAGATTTATTTTTATTGGAAAGGCTGATTTACAGAGAGAAGGAGAGTCAGAGAAAAGATCTTCCATTGCTAGCTCACATCCCAAGTGACCACAATGGCCAGAACCAGGCCAGTCTGAAGCCAGGTTCCCATGTGGGTGCAGGGTCCCAAGGCTTTGGGCCGTCCTCTTGCTCTCCCAGGACACAAGTAGGGAGGTGGATGGGAAGCGGGACCGCCATGATTAGAACCAGTGCCCATATGGGATCCCGGTGCGTTCAAGGCGAGGAGGATGTTAGCTGTTAGGCCAGCGAGCTGGGCCCCCTAGTAGGTATTTACAGTTTTTCTGTTTTTGTGATCTACCCCTTTACCTCCGCTACCCATCTCCTGTTACTAATTTGTAAGAACATTTACAGTTCTTGCAAACCCTCCTCAAAAACTTATGCTCAGTTTAAAAATACTTGAAACTTGCTAAAATATAACTATTTCATATAATGTCATACTTCAGTGGTGAGTTTAAGACAACCAGATCAAACCAACCCTAATCAACGGACTGATGTAAACCAATGAAATAACCGACGGTCACGGGTTGTTAGTAAAAAGGTTTGCATTAACACACGGAGTTTTGGGGCTGGCTTTATAGTGCTGATTAAGCTACCACTGGTTTTAATTTTTTCCTTTGATTTTAAGATTTATTTATTTCAAAGTTAGACTTAGAGAAAGCCAAACACACACAGATGTGGGCAATTGCTTCCGGGGCTCTGCGTGCTACCTGGTGAGAGCGGCTTAGAGTGCACCTGCCTATGGTGTGAGGCACAGCTTCCAGGCCTAACTGTGGAGCTGACCTCCAATGAGAACAGGAGGTCTAGGGGAATATGCATGGTATATGACCTCTGACCTGACCAGAAGGTCAAGGGAGATACACATGCTTTCTGGCCAATTACTCTTTGTTGCGGGGGCGGGGTAGCGAGACTGCCAGAAGATGCTCTCCGGCCCTTCTTTTCCTTAACCTTTAAAACCCTGGAATTTGTGTTGAATAAATGGACATTCCTCACCAGCTTGTCCCCGGTGGTTCTTATAGTCAAACAACACCATCGCCTCACCTTGGTGACATGAGGGCCTGCTGGAAGGCTTAAACCGAAAGACACAAATACACACACATGGAAAGTAAGAGTAAGAATCTTCCTTCTATTGTTTCAATCCACAAATGGCTGCAACCACCAACACTGGACCATGCTGGAGTCAGGAGCTTCTACCAGGTTGCCCATGTGAGTAGCAGAGACCCAAATGGTTAGGCCATTTTCCAGTACTTTCCAGGGCTATTAGCAGGAAGATGGCTCAGAAGGCGAAAAGTTGGAACAGGTGGCAGCTTCAGATGCTATGCTGCAATGTCTGCCCCTTAAGCTGCTCCTGGTGATACAAGCATCATAGGAGTGCTGGGCAAATCCTGGGTGCTCCCTGTTCATATGCCTGTGAAGACAGTAGAAGATGGCTCAGGTACCTGGGCTCCTTCCATTCAAGCAAGAAGATTCCAGATGGAGTTCCAGACTCCAGGTTCCTAGGTCAGGTTGTGGTGGTATTTGGAGAGCAAAATCAGGAAATGAAAATATTTCATAATCCCAGAGCCTATGAAACTGTGTCACATAATGCAATGTAATTAATTTTATATATATATGTGAAAATCTTTCATATAAGTAGCACAAATTCTCTAAAGAACAAACAAAACCAGGGTCCGGCTCAAGTCATCGCCTTGAACGCACCAGGATCCCATATAGGTGCTGGTTCTAATCCCGGCAAGGCCACTTCCCATTCAGCTCCCTGTTTGTGACCTGGGAAAACAGTTGAGGATGGCCCAAGGCTTTGGTACCCTGCACCCGTGTGGGAGACCTGGAGGAAGTTCTTGGCTCCTTGTTTCAGATCAGCTCAGCTCTGGCCGTTACAGCCACTTGGGGAGTGAATCAGTAGATAGAAAATCTTCCTTTCTGTCTCTCCTCCTCTCTGTACATCTGACTTTCCAGTAAAATTCAATAAGTCTTAAAAAAAAAAAATCTGGAGCTTCTCTTTCCTGAACGGATGTGAGGAGGACATACCTGGATTCAAAGGGATCCTGCTTCTCCAGGGGTCGGACCCTTTTCTTCATCACGGCCAATTTAGTCAAGTCCACGTACTTTGTCTCCCCGTTGCTGTAAGTAAACTCTAGGACACTATTCCATTCTCCCTGCACTCTGCAGACCACAGTGTTGGTGAGATTGTGCTTTACTTCAGCTGTAACCCTACAAACAGGCAGAACAGAAAGACCATTTTCATGAGGAGGCAGCATGTTTATTTAGCAGGATTCTAAAGATGCAAGAACACGTGGTGTGAACTGAATTAACTCAGTGTCAACCTGTCAGAGTTGGACTCTTTATATATATATATATATCATTATAGCTTCCTAGATATTTTTTTCAAGGGATAACAATTACTAGCTATCAAATTGGAGACCTGATTACCTTAAATTATTATTTTTTTTTAATAAAAGACTTACTTTTAATGGAAAGGCAGATCTACAGAGAAGGGGAGACAGAGACTGATCTTCCACTTGCTGGTTCACCCCACCCTGAAATGGCTTTAATGGCCACAGCTGAGCCAATCAGAAGCTTCCTCAGGATCTCCGTGGGGGCTCATTGCTCCAGATCATCCCCACCACTCTCCACACCACAGGTAGGGAGTAGGATTGTAACTGGAGCAGCTGGAACATGAACTGACACCCACATGGGATGTCAATGACTGCATGTGGAGGACCAGCCAGTTGAGACGTTGCACCAGCCTAATCTTTAAGATGCTTTCCATAGGGTGTGGTGTGACGTCTCAATTGGCTAACCTTCCCCCTGCAAGCACTGGCATCCCATATGGGTACTGGTTCGCGTGCTGGTCCTGGCTGCCCCATTTCCCTTCACATCCTTGCTTATGGCCTGAAGCCTTGGAACCATGCATCCATGTGGGAGACCCAGAAGAAGCTGCTGGCTGCTGGCTTGGAATCAACTCAGTTATGGCCATTGCAGCCACTTGGGGAATGAACCAGCAAAGGGAAATCTTTCACTCTGTCTTTGCTTCTCTCTGTAAATCTGCTTTTCTGATAAAAATAAATGAATCTAAAAAAGCCCCAACCAAACAAAAAACAAAAACACAAATGCTTTCCACAAAGCCAGCATAAAGATTATATTAAAGCATTAAAAATATAAATATTTGCGTGGTTTTAAAAATATTTATTTATTTTATTTAAAAATCAGAATTAGAGAGAGAGGGAGAGACAGAGACAGAAATCTTTCACCTGCTGGTTCACTGCCCAAATGATTGCAATGGCCAGAGCTTGGCTGATCAGAAGCTGAGAGCCAAGATTTTCTTTCAGGTCTCAATAAGTATACAAGGGCCCAAGGACTTGTAGCATCCTCACCTATTTTCCCAGGCCATAAGCAGGGAACTAGATTGCAGGGGATTAACTGGGATTTACCCAGTGCCCATGTGGTATGCTGGTGCTGTAGGCAGAAGATTAGCCTGTTTTATAAGTAGTCTAAAAATGGCACAATATTGGGCCCAGCGCAGCAGCTCAGGGGCTGAAGTCCTAGTCTTGCACAAGCCAAGAGCCCATATGGGCACCAGTTCTAATCCTGGCAGCCTCACTTCCCTTCCAGCTCCCTGCTTCTGGCCTAGGAAAGCAGTCGATGACGGCCCAAAGCTTTGTGACCCTGTACCCACATGGGAGACCCAAAAGAAGCTCCTGGCTCTTGGCTTCGGATTGGCTCAACTCCAACCTTTGTAGCCTCTTAGGGAGTGAATCATCAGGCAGAAGATCTTCTCTGTCTCTCCTCCTCTCTGTATATCTGACTTTTCCAATAAAAATAAATAAATCCTTAGAAACGATACAATATTTAGTATAATTAACTTTTTGCCTAAAACTAGTCTTGGAGAAGATATTGTGGTGCAGTGGGTAAAGCTGCTGCTTGTGATGCTGGCATTCCATACAGATGCTAGTTCATGTCCTCACTGTTCCACTTTCACTCCAGCTCCCTGATAATGTATTTGGGGAAAGCAGCAGAAAATGGCCCAATTGTTTGAGCCCCTGTCACTCACAGAGGAGACCAGATGAAGCTCCTGGCTCCTAATTTTGGCTTGACTCAGTTGTGGACATTGTGGCCAGCAATGTCCACATTAGAAATTGTGAACCAGCAATGAATGGTATCTTTTCCTACCCTCTCTAGAACTGTGATCTTAAAAAAAAAAAAAAATTCAGACTTGTATTTTTTTTTCATTTTACTTTATTTATTTATTTGTTTATTTTTGATAGCCTTACTTAGTTACTTCGGGTTGGACTTGTATGTCAAATGAAGTATTTCATGTTCACTGTGGGATACGGGTAATGGTGGTGTCAGACCAGGTAAAGATTCAAAACTGAAGGAATAGCAGTCAAAGTTTACAGTGTAATCAGTGTGTTAGCGATAGGAACTCCTCAGGATTCAATGAGTATTCCAAAAGACCAGAGCCTAACACAGCATTAGGAAATTTCTGTAAGGCATCAGAAAGAACAGCTCAGCAATTCTCCTTTAACAGAAATTCTTTCTTGTTCCACAACTCAAGTTTATGGAGATGAGATGGGACAAGTGTCTGTTTGAGATTGCAAGAAAGGAAAATAAAAAAGTCTCTTGATCAAATTCACAACATTTGAACTGGACAGATTTTATTTCAATAAAAGACACAAAAATACAGATTTCCTAGACACTGTCTCCATAGTTATTTGGGATGCTAGAAAACCACCGGAGAGATCAACGCACCTCTCAATAGCAAGGCTTGCATTGACTCAAACTGAAGACTTTCTCTGCTTTGGTTTTCACTAGTGGTATTTATAAGAACAGCTGCCTGAAGGGTGATGGCACTTCACACAGAACTTTTGAAGAAGGCCCTCAACGCCACACTGAAAGGATACATGCAACAAATTCCTTTGGAATTCGGTGCCAGGAAAAGAGTCTGTCTCTGGAAAAAGTGATTGGGTCCCTTTATCAGATATGGGGAAGCACAGGGAGTGTCATGTTTCTTTTTTTTACTTTAACAGATATGCCAGAACCACACTGCCATTCTCAGGCACAGCAACCATCAATTCTAGTTTCACATCTGCTTTCTCTACTTTGTGGTTACTGTGACAGATTTCATCTGAATTATTCTACATCAGTGTTTTTTTAAAGTCTTATAAATGCTTTTCAAAAACAGTACCCTGGGTTCTGATAAGTGAAAGCTTCTTGAAGGTACAGCCTTATTTCTATGTATCACCAGCATGCAGAAAAATACCACACACACACAAAACCATCCTGTAACCTAGATACACCGCCCACACAGTGTACATAAACATCTGAAAGTGACTGTGGAAACTGGGACAGGAGATGGATCAGTAAATGGAGAGTAGTTCAGTAGGGTCATTTGGCTGGATCACTGATAGTTGTGGAAAACAAGGGAGTAAGGAAAGACAGGTGGAATATAAGTGCAGGCAGCAGATAATGTGTCTGCTCCAATTGCAGGTACAGTAAAAAACCAGGTTATGCCTGAGGAGAAAGGCATAAAAAGAGACCTGAGGTAGGACGGTACTTAAAACAGTTTATGGAAAAACAGAAATAAAGGATAGATTTACTTGTTCTTTTGAAATCTTTGCATAGCATGATATGCATTTTTGCATGAACCTTCATATGCAGACTTTGAAAAATTTTCTACTTCAAAGCAAATTTATTAACTTTATTTTTCTTAAACTTTTTAAAAAGTAATTTTTAAAATTAAAAAAGAAAAGACATTAACAGTAAGGTTTATTCCTCATGTTAATCTTCTAAATAAGAAATCGGATTAAACCATTGGCTTTCAAAGGAGATCAGAATAGAAAAGGTGAGGAACTTTGGCTTCACTTGAAATTATGTTTCCCACCTTTGAGAATGAGTGCGTATGACTATGAGGATACAAAGGAGACAGCAAGATATGTTAGAGAAAAAAAATTAGATACATCCATGTGATAGGAAAACATAATGAGCGTGGTCTTACAGGTAAATAAAGGACAGGGAGGGATAAAAAAAAGCCAATTTAAGTAAGAAATTCAAACAATCCAGCAAATACAGTGACTGAATACATTTTTAAAAGTTTACTATCTGAAATGATAAGGCATTCTAAATATGAAAACTAGACATAAAAGCCAGGAAGGCCTTTGGCACACTTGTTTTTCGATGGTGCCTTAGAAACTCAAATCACAGGGGTAGGCCACGTGTGGGTCTTCTGAAGGACAGCCCTAGCTGAGCCACTGGCCAGCAGCCAAGATCAACTGCCTTCCACAGGGCAAGCTATCTTGGATATACAGGACGGAGCCCTTAGATGGCTGAAGCCCAGCCAACATCTGACTACAACTACACAGAAAACAACAAGTGAGTTTTTGTTTAATATTCACTAATTTATCTATTTGTAAGGCAGATATACACACACACGCACACAGAGTAAGATCCTTCATTTGCTATTTGACTCCCCAAACAGCTGAAATGGCCACAGCTAGGCCATTGAAGCCAGAAACATGGAACTCCTTCTGGATGTTCCATATGGATTGCAGGGTCCAAAATATCTGGGACATTTTATGCTGCTTTTTCAGGCATATTAGCAGGGAACTGGAAAAGAAGTGGAGCATCCAAAACTTGAACTGGCACTCATATAGGATACCAGTGTTTGTGGTGGTGTCTTAACCACCAACCACACCAAAAACATTTTAAAGATGTTTATTCCTGTAGTAGTTAACCAGGATACCAAAAACTGGGCACCAAGAAGAAAACATTTTTGAACAACATTGGAACAAATCAGTATTTATACATTATGGATATGGATAAATATTTTTAGAAAAGAACTGACAGGGCATGCACCGGGATCCCATATGGGCACTACTTCATGATCCGGCAGCCTTGCTTCCCATCCTGCTCCCTGCTTGTGGCCTGGGAAACCACATGAGGATGGCCTACAATTTGTGACCCTTGCACCTGCACAGGAGAGTTAGAAGAAGCGCCTGGCTCGCAGCTTCAAACCAGTCCAGCTCCGGCTATCACGGCCATTTAGGGAGTAAGCCAGAGAATGGAATATTTCTCTCTTTGTTTATTTTGCTTGAAAGTCAGACATACTGAGAGACAATGTCACTGAATCTTTTTTTTTTTTTTTAGATTGTCAATGGTTTGCTGCTTTTTTTTTTTTAAAGAGTTATTTTATTTTTATTGGAAAGGCGGATATACAGAGAGGAGGAGAGACAGAGAGGAAGATCTTCCATCTGATGATTCACTCCCCAAGTGAGCACAACCGCCAATGCTATGCTGATCTGAAGCCAGGAACCTCTTCCGGGTCTCCCACACGGGTGCAGGGTCCCAAAGCTTTGGGTTGTCCTCAACTGCTTTGCCGGGCCACAGGCAGGGAGCTGGATGGGAAGCGGGGCTGCCAGGATTAGAACAGGTGCCCATATGGGATCCAGGGCGTTCAAGGCGAGGACCTTAACCACTGTGCCACTGCACTGGGCCCAATAGTTTGCTTCTTAAATGCCCACAACAGGGCCTGGCATGGTAGCTTAGCAGCTAGATTCCTTGCCTTGCATACACCACGATCCCATATAGGTGTTGGTCCATGTCCTGGCTGCTGCACTTCCCACCCAGCTCCCTGCTTGTGGCCTGGAAAGCAGCAAAGGATGGCCTAAAGTCTTGGGACCCTGCACCCGTGTGGGAAATCGGAGGAGGCTCCTGACTTTAGCTTGGCTCAGTTCTGGCCGTTGCAGCCACTGGGGAGTGAGCCCACAGATGGAAAATCTTTTTCTCTGTTTCTCCTCCTCTCTGTAAATTTGATTTTCCAATAGAAATAAATAAATCTTAAAACAAACAAACAAACAAACAATGCCCACAGCAGCCAGAACTGGGCTAGGCTGAAGCCAGAAATTCAGCACTCGATTCCTGTGTGAGTCGTGAGGATCCAAGTCGTTGAGCTGTCACCTGCTCCCTCCCAAGATGCATATTAAAATGACTCCAAGTGAAGGAACCAAGACCCAAACCAGCCACTCTGGCTGTGGCGTTCCAAGTGGCGCCTTAATCACTGCAATAGGTGACCTGCCTTAGAAGATAAAATGTATTAAACAAACAAAAATATCCACAAATAAAAATCCAATCCCATTTGGGTTAAAAAATAAAGAAAAAAGCAGACAGAATACAGAGTTATAACACAGGATTAGATTGTAAGAATAAGGGCCAGACTGCATTAAAATGTTCTTACCGGTGCAGCTTGCCTCCATAAAATGGCTTCGTGTGAAAAGTGATACTGGCTGAATAGCCAGATTTTACACAGTTGACACTGACTTTGCCGCCCAATTCCACCCAAGGAACGGTTAGAATTGACCGAGCATAAGCACAAGGCAGGGAAAATGTATACTCTTCTCCATGCTCCAACAGACTGAGGACACCTGAACATGGAAACATGAAAAGGGGTTAACATCTTTTTAAAGATACAGTCACAAAAACAAAAATTTTAAAAATCTATTTTTCCTGGGCCCAACGCCGTGGCCTAGAAAGCTAAAGTCCTCGCCTTCAACGCGCCGGGATCCCATATGGACACTAGTTCTAATTCTGACGCCCCACTTCCCATCCAGCTCCCTGCTTGTGGCCTGGGAAAGCAGTCGAGGAAGGCCCAAAGCCTTGGGACCCTGCACCCGTGTGGGAGACCCGGAAGAAGTTCCTGGATTCTGGCTTCGGATCGGCATAGCATTGGCCGTTGCGCTCACTTGGGGAGTGAATCATCAGACGGGAGAAATTCCCCTCTGTCTCTCCTCCTCTCTGTATATCTGACTTTCCAATAAAAAATCTTTAAAGAAAAAAAAAATTACCTACTGTCATTTCTATTCATGCCAGGTAGTTCATAGCTTTCAAAAATCCTTTGTCCGAGCCTACACAGTGGCACAGCAGGCTCATCCTCAACCCTGCTGCACCAGCATCCTGTATCAGTTGTTCCGTTTCTGATCTAGCTCCCTGCTTATGGACTGGGAAAGCAAAGGAGAATGACTCGAATCCCTGGGACCCTGCACTCACATAGAAGACGTGGAAGAGACTCCTAGCTCCTGCCTTCCGATCCACTCAGCTCTGGCTGTTGCAGCCATTTGAGGAGTGAATCAGAGGATGGAAGATCCTTCTCTCTGTCTCTCCTTTCTGTAAATCTGCATGACTCACAGATGATGCTACAATTACCCCATGGCACTTGATGGCCTGGGAAAGCAGTTGAGGACGGCCCAAGGCTTTGGGACCCTGCACCCGCGTGGGAGACCCAGAGGAGGTTCCTGGTTTCCAGCTTCTGATCGGCGCAGTACCAGCCATTGTGGTCACCTGGGGAGTCCATCATCAGATGGAAGATCTTCCTCTCTGTCTCTCCTTTTCTCTGTACATCTGACTTTGTAATAAAAAAATAAATAAATCTTTTTTAAAAAATCTATTTTTCCTAACTAGCACATTAATATCATTATTTTGCTTAGCTTTCAATTAGGATGTGACTGATTTCATTATTAAATACATTCAACATTTTCCTGTAACAGTGAGGTGGGGTTACTTTTCCGGGACTTTGCTACCTTTTCAGGTCATGGGTTCAGCAAATGTTACAGTGAAAAGAGTCCAAGGGCTCCTGATAATGCTTCTAAAACTAAAATGAAGACTTAATCTAAGACAGCATAACAGAAAAGGTGCTTTTCATTCCAGTAGCAGTATACTAAAGAAAAAAATGCACTTCTATCATAGAAACTATAATCATAGTAATAGCTTTGTTGCTAAAGTTATTGAATTATTTAAAGTAAAGCTTCAAGAGTTACAAGTCTAAGTTGTGGTTTCCAATTATCTGAAGGGGTATGTCATGCTACATTAATGATAATTAAAAACATACAAAAAGAGGATTGCAATAATCAGTAATCAATGAGATAATCCAAAGACACTGATCTATACAACTAATCCTTTATTACATGTGCTGAATTAGATGTGTATTACTAGCCTGAACTCTTCTTCAAAAAATATTTTATTTTTATCTGAAAGGCAATTTTAGAGAGAAATAGAGAATGTGGGAGGAAGGTGGAACAAGAGAGAGACAAAAAAGCTTCCATCCGTAGGTTCACTCCCCAGATAGCTGTAAAAGGCAGGGCTGAGCCAATCCAAAGCTGGGAGCTTCTTCATTGCTTTCCTAAGCCATAAGCATCCTCCATTGCTTTCCTAAGCCATAAGCATGGAGCTGAGTCAGAAGTGGGGCAGTCACTAGAATCAGCATCCATAAGGTGCCACAGGCAGAGACTTGGCCTACTATACACCACAGTGCTAGCCCTTTGTCTGAACTCAGGATACTGCTCTATTAAGTACTTTCAAAAAAGTTTTAAAATTCATTTGAAAGGCAGAATTACGGAAAGAGAAGGAGAGAAAGAAGGGGAAGATAAAGGGGATGGAGGAGAGAGCAGGCAAGAGAGAGGGGGAAAGGGAGAGAGGAAGCTAGCTTTTATCCGTTGGCTCAATCCCCAAATGGCTGCAACGAACAGGACTGGTCCAGATTGAAACCAAGGGACAGGAGTTTCATCTGGGCCTCCCATGAGGGTGGCAGTGGCTCAAGCACTGGATCAATTCTTCATTGCTTACCCAGGTACATTAATAGGGAACTAGATCGGAAGTGGAGCAGCTAAGACACAATGCTGGCCTCAAATGTTTTGTTTTGTTTTATTTTTTAAACTAATAACATATGAGAACTTTTTTGATGTTTTCCAAGATGCAATTAACTTGAACTACTATTTGGAAATTACTCAGACAAATCACAATGGAGGGCCCGACGCCATGGCCTAGAAAGCTAAAGTCCTCGCCTTCAACGTGCCTGTATCCCATATGGGCACCAATTCTAATCCTGGTGCCCCACTTCCCTTCCAGCTCCCTGCTTGTGGCCTGGGAAAGCAGTCGAGGAAGGCCCAAAGCCTTGGGACGCTGCACCCGTGTGGGAGACCCGGAAGAAGTTCCTGGATCCTGGCTTCGGATCGGCATAGCATTGGCGGTTGCACTCACTTGGGGAGTGAATCATCGGACAGAAGAAATTCCCCTCTGTCTCTCCTCCTCTCTGTATATCTGACTTTCCAATAAATAAATTTTTTAAAAAAAAATCACAATGGAACTTAAAAATGGAGGATGTAGCAAAGGAGGGTGAATTTTTTTGTTTTCTTCACAGCTACAATAACACAATCTAAACACATTAGAGGAATAAGCTTAATCATAACATAGTTATTATGTTCCAAGTTTATACACAGAGCAGTTTTTTGTATACGAGTTTTTCTTCTGTGAGAGTGGAGAACAGGTGGCCAACAGGCTGTGTTAGGTCCATGAAATCAACTGTCCTGGGCTCTGCCAAGGCAACCACAGGTAAGACATGAAATTCATTAACTCTAAGGCAGGCTATTTTTTATTTTAAAGATTTATTTACTTTTATTGGAAAGGCAGAGTTATAGTGAAGGAGCAACAGAGAGAAATTTTCCATCTGTTGATTCACTCTCAAATAGCTACAATTGCTAGAGCTGAGCCAGTCCAAAGCCAGGAGCCAGGAGTTTCTTCCAGGTCTCCCAAGTGGGTGCAAGGGCTCAAAGCCTTGTGTCAGCCTCCGTTGCCTTTCCAGGACATTAGCAGGGAGCTGGATCAGAAGTGGAGCTTCTGGGACTCAAACTGGCACACATATGAGATGGTAACACTGCAAGCACAGGCTGCATGGTGCTGGAGCACACAGCAGGCTAATTTTAAAGCTGATAATCTTGTATGGCTTATGAATGATGTTATGAATGTTCAAATGGTCCTTTGTAGAAATAAAGATTTCCCATCTCTGCTGTCAAATTAATACAATGAGGCTTTTTTATTCTCTACAGTTTGCTAACTCTTCTATGATGATTTCTGATGTGGAGGTATGTGTTTGCATTTTACATTCTTGGCCCCAAGACACAGCATTTTCTAAAACTATTTTTCACAAAAAAAATAAAAATAAAAATAAAAGAAAAAAAAATAAAACTATTTTTCACAACTTTTGATGATAAAAAGTTGGGCAATGCATTTTAAAAATATTCCATGAGACTGCAAATAAAATGTAAGAATGAAACTTACATCTTTTGATTTAATTATTGCTTTTAGCTCTCATTTTACTCCTGTGAAATAGTCTCTATTTTTTACTTGTTGAATATTATGGTTAGTGGAATATTAAGCCTGTGATATACAATATTGAAGTCGTGTATTGTAAAAATTAACAGGAAAAAAGAGAAAGAAAGAAGAGGGGATTGTAGGAATGGCAGAAGTACGGTTATCTTCTTAGAACTGTATCTATAAGGGGCTGGTGCTACAACACAGCCTGCTAATCCCCTGCCTGAGATGCCAGCATCCCATATGGGCACTGATTCAAGTCCTGGCTATTTCATTTCTGACCCAGCTCCCAGCTTATGACCTGAGAAAGCAGTAGAGGGATGGCCCAGGGCCTTGGGTTCCTGTATCCACATGGAATACCCAGAAGTTCGTAGCTTCTAGCTTGGACAGGCCCACCTCTGGCTGACGCAATTATTTGAGGAGTGAGCCAGGGAATGGAAAATATCTATCTCTTTCTCTGCCACTTTGCCTTTCCAATAAAATACATAAATCTCTAAAAAACTGTATCTATGAAGTCTATTAAGCCTATTCTCTTTATATTAATAACAGTTCTATAAAAAAGGACATTCTACATAATAGCTGATAAAGGAATATGTGACAGGCAGTGGTTATCTACAAGACATTTTCTGATGTAGGATTTTTCTTAGCAACAGATATTTACAATCTTAAAGTTCAAAATAGAGGGAAATGACTAAATAACAGACTGCAAATACATTTCACATACTGTTAAACTGTCAGTAAAATGGCTTTACCAATGACATGGGAAATGAACAGAGCAATAAACAAGAATTAATCCTACTTTTATACAGTATGAATGTATATGCAATGAAGAAACATAAAATTCTAGCTAAAATTACTCATCTCTGCATGAAGGGATTTTATTTTCTCTTTTATACTTTTTTTGGCTTTCTAAATTTTCAGAGATAAAAATATTTTAGACAGCAGGAAAAAAAGCCACACTTTAAATTTGCATCAGTTCATAGACACGCTAGCTGGACTCTCCAGCATGCTGCCTGGAACATTGTAGGTTCCAACACAGCAGTACTGACATGACATGCCACACTTAGAGTTAATATCGATTTAGCTCCCTCAAATTTAAGATTCTGCTTTAGTGTTAATTAAAAACTGGAGAACAATTTTTCTACTTACCTTCTCCAACCATGGTCACGCCTATGGACATGCCTAAGAATTTGCTCTTAGTCCAGACATGAGCATTTACACACATCTTCCTCTCTACACATTCTGCATAAAAACCCGAGACTGGTGGGTGATGGGAGACTTGCTCGGCAACAAATCTGACCGTGTAGCAGTCCGAGCCCACCTGGCTCACAGGCTCGTCTGGCGGCAGAGTGTGACTGGGGGCTGCCTGAGCAGAAGCGCCGCTGGAGGTGACCCCACTTCTTGGCATCCTCCAGGAGCAGTGGAACGTCTCTCCGATGATGGGATTGTACGGTTTCTTAGCGATGGCTCCCTTCCGGCCTTCATGAAATGAGGTAAGGTAGTACTCCACAAAGCGAATCATTCTGTCTTCAGCAGTGGCTCCATTGGTGATGGCTATGAACATGTCAGGATGAGACATAAAGTCTGCATACATTTCCAGCAAGGATCGTTTCTCCAGTATAAACGTAGGAAGCACCACCTAAAATAGCAATAACAGAAATCAGTAACAGAGTAAATGTAACCCATATTTTGGACAAGTTTTATTTTTCCCTTAATATGTATTTCAAAGGCAGAGTGATGCACAGAGGTAGATACATACTACTTGTAATCCTAATCTGCACGAGGTTAGCAAACATCAAGGTCACTGTAACACCAAACAATCACTCATATGACTTACTCATCTTAACAATATCACAACAGTCTCCTCTCAATCAATATAAAAACATTTTACAACAGAAATAATACCTATTTCAAATATTGGAGCTAGAAAAAAAGATGGCAGGTTAATGAAATCCTTTGTTAATTTCTAAAATGTCTGCTTCTTAGCAGGCTTTCAATTCAGTCCATTCACTTTAAAATCCTCTAATAAAACAGAACAAAAATAAACATGTTCTTGACTTTTAAATAAAGGGAAAATGCATTCTACTTGTTACATTTTCAAGTGAATGAGAAACAAGTTTCTACTCAATACTTTCACTATCTTCAAATGACCCCGTAAAATTCCATTTGAATCAGACTCTCTATAATCAACTTCAAAGTTGCACATTAATGCAAAATTGTGTCAGTAGTAATTTAAAGCAGATAATCTCACAGAAATTAAATCTGTCTTATATGGGTTATGAAGCTGCTTCCTTTTAAAATTAACATCACGGAAATCAGATGCAAATGGGAGAGTGCTGACATTATGGTGTACCAGCTTAAGTTGTTGTCTGTGATGCCAGCATGCCATATGAGCACTGGTTGTTCCACTTCCATTCCAACTCCCTGTTAATGTTCTTGAGAAAGCAATGGAGGGGATCAGGTATCTGGGCCCCTGAACCCAATCAGAGACCTATAAGAAGCTTGTAGTTGTGACCTGGCCGAACCCTAGCCATTGTGGCCATTTGGGGAGTGAACCAGTGGGTAGAAGATCTCTCTCTCTCTGTTTATTCCTCTCTTCTGAAGAAAAGGGTGTAATCTTAGGAAAGCATGAGAGATATTAACACTTGCACTGTACGCGTCCTTGCTGATAGTGAATGTTTTACACAGCTATGTGGGCAAAGCTCTCTCTTGTAGCTACTTTAGTTTTTTAGTTTTTATTTTATAAAAACGGCACAGGGATCCAATTAGCTAATCTTCCACCTGCAAGCACTGGGCTCTCATATGGGCACCTGTTCATGTCCTAGCTATTTCACTTCACATCCAGCAGTGCAGGCTGGCTCAAATTAATGGGCTTTGCACCCGTGTGGGAGACCCGGAAGCAGCTCTGGGTCCTGGCTTCAGATCAGCTCAACTCCGGCTCTCGCAGCCATTTGGGAAGTGAGCCAAAGGATGGAAGATCTTTCTCTGTCTCTTCTTCTCTCCGTGTAAGTCTGCCTTTTCAATAGAAATAAATAAATGCTAAAAAAAACACAATGATACAACTTAGGATATACAAATCTCACATTGGAGTGTTTAAGTTACATGGTTTAGTCTCAGGTCTTTCTATAAGTCTGCCATTCCAATAAAAATAAATCTTAAAAAAAAAAAATACCACTTAGGGGCCTGGCACAGTAGCTCAGTGGCTAAAGCCCTTGCCTTGCATGTGCTGGGATCCGATATAGGTGCCAGTTCATATGCTGGCTCTCCTGCTTCCCATCCAGCTCCCAGCTTGTGGTTTGGGAAAGCAGTCAAGGATGGCTCAAAGCTTTGGGACCCTGCATCTGGATGGGAGACCTGGAAGAGGTTCCGGGCTTCAGATCGGCTCAGCCGCAGCCATTGTGGCTACTTGGGGAGTGAATCAACGACGGAAGATCTTCCTTTCTATCTCTCTTCCTCTCTGTATATCTGACTTTCCAATACCAATAAAAACAAAAAAAGAAGAAAATAAATCTTTAAAATATAATTAAAAATTTACAAAAATACCACTTAAGATATCCAAATCCCATACTGGAGTGCCTAAGTAACATGGTCTAGTCCCAGGACCTGCTCTTGACTCCAGCTTCTGGCTGACACACACTCTCCTTAAAGTAAGCAGGTGATGGCTCAAGTATCTGGTTCTTACCACCTATATGGGAGATCTGAATTGATTTCTGTCCTTCAGGCCTTAGTCTGGCTCAACTCTAGCTTTGCAGGCATTTAGGAAGTAAACTTGTGCATGAGAAATCTCTCTTTCCCTTTCAAGTAAATTAAATTTAAAAAAGAATAAATCTCCTGATAGCATTAGTGGTAATGGCTACAGTCCTGATGTACCAATCTTACAGCCAGCTCATCGCATTACTTACTCTTGTTAAGTCCATGCCCAGCTTGAGCTGGGACAAAAGATGTAGAATAACACTTCGTTGTTCTTCCACAGCTCCCAGGTCATCTTCCTTGTTGTCACCTGTATCCTCTATCTCATCATCAGCATTTATCTCCTCAGGTTCCTTGATGCAGAACAAAGCAAAAGTCTAGTGTCATAAGTATGCATTAATGTACAAGAATAAAAGCATTAACATTAGACTTACAGACATTCGTTTCAGGCCTTGATGGATAAGATTGGGGAAAAGTCCTCTGTAAATATGAGGGTCTACAAAAAGTTTATGGAAAATACATATTATAGAAAAACTGCCTAGATCCAAAGCTTTTTTAAGCACCAAAACACACTTCCTTTGCCAAGGAGTAAACAGCCTTCAATGAAGCCATTATGGCTAACACTGAATATATTGCGGTTCTGTTATATAAATCACAAACACAGATACTTTATGAAAATTGGAGTTCTCAGAATGTCTCCCCTGAATGTATGGGTTATCATCAACTGTAAGTCAAGTCCAAGTTGCTGTTGCTTCTTTTAAAGTTTTATTTTATTTTATACGAGAGTGACACAGAAAGGGAGAAACACTCCCCATATGGTTACAATGGCTAGGGTTGGGCTAGGCCAAAGTCAGGAGTCTGGAATTCCATCCAGGTCTCACACATGGGAGTCCAAGCACTTAGACCTTTTCCCAGCCATGTTAGCAGAAAGTTGGATGGGAAGTGAATCAGCCAGGACTCAAACCAAGGCTCTAATTTGGAGTGTTGACAATGCACGGTAGGAACTTAACTTGCTATGCTGTAACAGTGGACCAAGTTCAAGCTGTTTCAGAAAAAAAAATTGGGGGGATAAGGAGGGTGGCGCCGTGGCTCAACAGGCTAGTTTCACCCTGCGGAACCAGCATCACATATGGGCACCAGTTCGTGTCCCAGCTGCTCCACTTCTGATCCAGTTCTCCTCTAATGGCCTGGGAAAGCAGCAGAAGGTCACCCCAAAGCCTTGGGACCCTGCGCCCACATGGGAGACCCGGAAAAAGCTCCTGGTTCCTGGCTTCAGATCAGCTCAGCTCTCGCCACTGTGGTTGTTGTAACCATTTGGAGAGTGAACCAGTGGATGGAAGCTCTTTCTCCCTATCTCTCCCTCCTCTCTCTTTAAATCTGCCTTTTCAATAAAAACAAATATATTTTTAAAATAAAAATAAATCTTCAAATAAAAGTAAGTAAATCTTTACTTGAGTAACTCTTGGTATTATGATAGGTTTTTAAGTTATGAGGACTTTAAGAAGAAAAATTTTTTAAAAGATTTATTTTACTTTTATTTGAAAGGTAGAGGTACAGAGTGAGAAGAAGAGACAAAGAGAGATCTACCATCCTCTGGTTCATTCCCCAAATGGCTGCAAGAGCTGGAGTTGGGTCAGTCTGAATCTGGGAGCTTCTTCTGGGTCCCCTCTGTGGGAACAGAGGCTCACGTCCCTGAGCCATGCTCTGTTGCTTTCCCAGGCACATTAGCAGAACTGGATGACCCAAAGCATGTCACCCATATAGGATACAAGTGCTGCACGCAGAGGATTAACCTACTACAGTGCCAGTCACAAGGAAATTATTGTTAATATCTCTTTGTCTTTAATATCCCCATAATCAAATCAAATAAGACTATACAAGAAAAAACAATCTTAACCAGTTTAAAAAAATTAAAAATTCTGTGTTTTTTCCCAAAAATATTAAAAACAAAGTATAAAACAGAGACAGAATTAAAGGATAAAATGTCTCTGATCATTCTCTGCTTAAGGAAATCTCTTATCATCTTACATTCTGTTAAGTCAAAATTCCAACTCAGGGCCAGCAGTGTGGTGTAATGGCTAAAGCCTACACCCGTAATGCTGGCATCCCTTGCAGGTGCTAGTTCATGTCCTGACCTCTCCACTTCTGACCCTGCCCCTGCTAATGGTTCTTTAAATAAATAAATAAATAAACACATGTATCAAAATTATTTTAGAAATGTACAAATAACCATAAACTGTGCAATACTATGGACTCAATGAATCTATCTGAGGGCATAACCTAAGTAAATAATCAATGGGAGGAGAGGAGGAAAAAACAGAATCAATAGGATAATATGTTATACATAATTACAAAAATAATACAGACACTCAACAAAAGTATATTAACACAACAGCCTATTTCAGCTCTTACAATCTTAATTGCATAGGTCAAAACAATCTAGAAAAATGTTTGTAACAGAATCAAGTTAAAGAACTTATGAAACTACATAATTATGACTGTAAAAATGACACACATGAACTGAAAGACCAAAAATTAATACGACATAATCTACAATAGTAGACCTATAAAGAGAATACTTTTTAAGTTATGAGAAACATGGAATAATACTTAATAAAAAATATTAAATGTGAGTGCACATGTTAATTTTTTAATGTAGCAATATTTGAAACTGGTTTTCTAAAGTGCTCATTGTCCAAAAGACCAAAGACTAAACTCTAAGCCTAGAGACTTCATTGTAGCCATCTAGTAAAACACTCTTAAGATAAAAGGGATGAGAATGTAAATAACTACTATGCAAAAATCTTGTGAGGAAAAGTATTTTCCAGAAAAAGAGATTTGCAAATTTCAAATTCTAGAATACATTTTTATGATGGAAAAGTAGATCAGAATTTAAAAGTACATGATTTGATCTGGAAAACACAACATACATGTGTTTAAGAAAAGACTTCTTCCAAAGGGAAAGCAGTTCACAGCAGAACATCATGAGCAGGTGCAAGAGGGCAGCTCTGTGGCTACGCTGGCCTGCATGCCTGAACGGCCCTTTACAGCAACTCCTGATACTTTACAGAGACGACATTTCCACACCCCTTACCCTTGATGGGAGTCCAGGTTCTGCAACAGACTGCTCCTCCGGGACTGCCACTGGCTTACTCTGCTCGGCTGCAAAGGGCTGCTCAGCTCCATTTTTATAGTGGTTTGATAAAGGTATCTTTGGTTCCAACCACTCGATTGTCGTTCCTGAGGTAAGAGAAAATTTTTGCTGAAACTGGCTCATAATCTGGGAAGTTTAGCAGATGTCGGTTTTATTAAAGAATTTCGTTTTGTGTCTAAAAGACTACAAGCAATTTAGTTTAAGAGACTCTGTCAGGCAGTCACTTGTATCTCATTAGCATGAGCACCGTGATTGGGTACTTTAGAACACAGCAACTTGCAACCGGAAATTAGACACTATTTAAAAGAAACCAACCCTGAACAGGAGGACAGAATTCACTTCTTGAGCAAAGATGTGAGTCATAACATGTATTTCCAATCTCACAGCTGATTTTCTGTCCTCTCTATATGAATTCTGTTGCTCAATGATCAAAAAGTACACAATTAGGTTGTAAGGGGTCACAGCTATAAGAGGTGGCCAAGGCTAACAGTCAGAAAAACTTGCTTCAGGTTGGGACTGAACCATATTCCCAGCAGCAATTTCTAGTCTATCAAAAATAATCCGTTGGATCCAATTAAGAATTGCAAATCACAAAAAGCTCCATCTAACTTTTAAACTGCAATACTCTTCTACTGAATAAATAATAGCTGACCTAGTAAAAGGCAGTGGCCACATTTAAAGAGCTGTCATCTTCCCAGTTAATGACTCAAACATCTCTTGTTACCCTCAACTAGTTTAACAAAGTGGATTCTATGCCTAATCAATAATAGAAAATGTTCCATTTGATTTCAGGGGCTGATCTAGGTTTCACAGAAGCTAAACTATACAGAGCTGTAATACAGCATGTTCAGACCATGGCAGCAGCAATTTCAAAACAAAACCACTGACTTCAGTAGTTGTTATATAATAAGAGACCAGACTTCAGTAGAGGAATACATTATAAAGTATACACAAGGCTTCTAGAACAGCCTGACTTGTTCAGTCTCACTTGGCAGTGGGGGTGGAAATCTGCCATGTACGAAATACCTTGGATAAGTTTTGGTGATCGTTTTAAAATTCTAAGGATATTAAAACTTTTTGTTCTCACTTTAAATTATTGATTTTTAACATCAATACCCAAATACCTTACTTCTAAATATAAAACACAAATAAATCCTAAGCTTAAAAGATCTGTTTCAAGAGAGCAATCAACTGACTGGAAATTGAACAAAAGTAAGTGTGTTTTAAGTTTTTATTTACTTGAATGAGCAACTGAGAAAGACAGGCGCAGATCTTCCATATGCTGCTTTACTCCTTGAATGCACACAAAAGCTTAGGCCAGGCAGGAGCCAAGAGCCAGCAACTCCTTTTGAATCTCCCAGAAGCATGGCAGCAACAGAGAACTTGCTGCCTCTCCTAGTGCTCATTAGCAGAGAGCCGGATCAGAAATTCCCAGGTATCCTGACCTGGGATTTGACTTCCCAAGTGGCACCTTATTCTGCTACACAATACCTGCCTCACAATAACCTCTTTAAACTAATTATCTGCTTTCAAGTTCCCTCTAAGTCAATAACCCCTACTGAGTCTTTAGATAACACTTTGGGGGGGGGGGGCTGGTGCAGTGGCCTAATGATTAAAGTCCACACCTTGAACACACTGGGATCCCATATGGGCGCCAGTTCTAATCCCAGCAGCTCCACTTCCCATCCAGCTCCCTGCTTGTGGCCTGGGAAAGCAGTTGAGGACGGCCCAAAGCCTTGGGACCCTGCACCTGCGTGGGAAACCTGGAGGAAGTTCCTGGCTTCTGGCTTCAGATCAGCGCAGCACCAGCTGTTGTGGTCACTTGGGGAATGAATCATCTGATGGAGGATCGTTCTCTCTGTCTCTCCTCCTCTCTGTATATCTGATTTTGCAATAAAAATAAATAAAATCTTTAAAAAAAGATTTTATGAGACTAATTTGAATTAAGACTTCATTTTCTTCTTAAAATTTAAATGGAAAAGTAATTAAGTTTTTCTCTTTGTAGCTAGATTTTCATTTTCAAATTATCTAATAATATATTTTAAACATCCAATTTGGAAAAATATACAACCTATACTGAGAGATACCAATGCTAGTTAACACTGCCAAATAACTACAAATCCGTGTTTCGAAAAAGTGACATGGTAAACAACTTTAATATTAAACATTTCTGTCAAGTTTACACTGTGCTTTACTTTCATAATTAAAAAAATAAAATTTGCATTATACATGTTTCTGTAATTATGAGGTAAACACTTAAGAACAAGATCATGGAGAGGAGCCTGGCACCTGTTGGTTTGGAACCCTGAGTTCATATCTCGGCTCCACTGCAGATTCTAACTTTGTGCTGATGTCCACTTTGGGAGGCAGCACGTGATGGCCCATGTCACTGGGTCTCGGCCATTCCAGTGTGAGACCCCCACTGAGTTCCAGGCTCCTAGATTCAGTCAGGTCCAGCCATAGCTGTTGTAGGCACTTGGGGAGAAACCAGAAAATCAGAAATCTCTCTATGTTTCTTCCTTATCCTTTGCTCTCTTTCTCCTTGCCTTTCAAATAAATGTATCTACCACATTGTTATTTGGCGTACTTTAAAAAGAAATAAGCAATGTAACATATAAATAAAGCTTTAGAATCAACCCAAATTTTGTAACTCAGAACAATTCATCCATCACTTCTTGGTCTTTCGGCTAAGATTAAGTATAGAACAATTCATCCAATGTTCAGTCTCAGGAAAAAGTAAAATACATCTGGTTCCCTCAAAGGAACATAATGCAGCCAACAAAAAGTATGTTTGCCAAAAGCAAGTCATAAATTAGAAGGTACTGTTTTAAGAGTTAGGGCCCGGCGCGGTGGCGCAAGTGGTTAAGGTCCTCGCCTAGCACGCCCGGGATCCCATATGGGCGCCGGTTCTAATCCCGGCAGCCCCGCTTCCCTTCCAGCTCCCTGCCTGTGGCCCGGGAAAGCAGTCGAGGACGGCCCAAGGCTTTGGGACCCTGCACCTGCGTGGGAGACCCGGAAGAGGCTCCTGGCTTCGGATCGGCATAGTATCGGCCCGTTGCGCTCACTTGGGGAGTGAATCATCGGGCGGAAGATCTTCCTCTCTGTCTCTCCTCTCTGTATATCCGCCTTTCCAATGAGAAAATAATAAAAATAAATCTTTAAAAAAAAAAAAAAAAAAAAGAGTTAGAAGGAGAGAGGGAGAGTCAGAGAAAGATCTTCCATCACTGGCTCATTCCCAAAATGGTTGGAGCTTGGCTGGTTTGAAGCTGGGAGTTGGCTCCCAAGTGGGTACAGGAACTCAAGGCTTTAGGCCACCCTCAACTGATTTCCCAGGCCATCAGCAGGCCATCAGAGGTGGAGCAGCCAGCATTTGAATCGATGCCCATATGGGATCCATCATTGCAGGCAGAGAGTTAGCTTGCTATGGCACCATGTCAGTCTTAATGACTGGTCTATTTAATGATGTCCCTAACTGTCCCTCTGGTTGCCAATGGCTTGAAATCTTGAATTTAGGCACACATGAGGATAGGATTCATATTATATCCACTTGACTACAGAAAAAATTTCTTGCTCAGAGATTCACTGTCTTTCAAAAATATCTTCCTTTCACAAAATAAAAGGAATTAATTGGAAACGATAACAAAAAGAATAGTTGTGAAACACTAAGTTACCATTATGAATACAATGTGTTAATCTTATGCATCTCACCCATGGAAAGACTAATCTTTAAAAAATTATTTTTTTAATCTTTATTTGAAATGTAGAATTGCAGAGACAGACCTTCCATCCATCCACTGGTTCATTCCCAAAATAACCAGAACTGTTAGCCAGATCAGAGCTGATTCAACGTCAGAAGCCAGAAGCTTCCTCTGGGACTCCCACATGGATAAAGGGGCACAAAGACTTAGACTATCCTCCATTGCTTTCCAGGCCATAGGCAGAGAGCTGGATCAGAAGTGGAGCAGCTGGGACACAAACTGGCACTTATATGGACACCGGAGCCACAAGCAGTTTTAACCTGTCACTCCTCAACAATGGCCTCAGAAGGATTCACTTTTGTATTCTAACACGATAACATTCTTTTTCCCCAGAACAATTTCATTTCAATAATAGGTGCTTTCAAATACCAGATAAATACATTTTTTTTTTTATCACAATGTTTCTACTCTAGTTATGGATAAATCATACCAACAATTTCAACAGGAATACATGAGATGGGGTTTTAAGATCAATTTTGACATGTGGAATTTGAAGTCTAAAGGAATATTCAAAATCATTTTAGATTCAAAGAACATAACTAGCAAGAATTTGTCCAATATGTGTGATAATTAGAAACCAGAAGACTCCCTGTTTTTCTTAACTTTTTTGCAGCTGGAATTGACAAGTCTAGGCCTTCCTATGTTTGAGTCCTCAACATCACGCCCTACCTTTTAACTTACCTGAAGGTAACGAGCCCTTCTGATGGGATGCATGCTGCAACTGGAGAATATGAAAGCAGTCATTTAAGCAGTTCATAGTTGCCATGGAAGTAGCTTTGAGCATTAAGAGATCCTGGTCCAAGGAACTAAGATGGCCAGAAGTAGGAAGGCATTCAATTCGTCTAATTAAGTCTCTTTGTTGTCCTTCAGCATGAGACATCATCTAAGGAAAACAACAGTTGCGTGGGTCCCACTCATAACTTACATATACATGTACACATTTCATTGCCAATTAACATAACATTCAACTTCTGGGCTAATTAAAAATGAATATTTTAAAGTTTTTTGAGAAACAGTGAGAGGAAGGCAGACAAATGGGCAGAGCATACTTCTATCTGCTGGTTCACTTCCCAAATGCCCACATTGGCCAGGTAGAAAACAGGAACCAGGAACTATCAGGTCTCCCACACTGTGGTAGGAACCTAACCATGTAAGCTACCACCTGCTACTTCCAAGAGTGCACATTAGCAATGAGCTGAAATAAGGAGTGGAGTAAGGACTTGAACTTGGGCATTTTGATGTGGAATGCAGGCGTTCCAACCACGGTCTTAAGTGTTAAGCCAAATGCTCACCCTTTCAAGACAAATTTTATGACTTAACGGGTTCAGAAATGTAGTTTAAGTTTGCCTAGCTACTTTTTATTTAGCTAAATAAATTATAATAATGACCATTAGGCTACTTATTATTTTGAACTAGTGAGCATTTAACATTTTATTTTTTGTTGGGCATAAAGACTGTGACTTAGGCAGCTATACGTTTTCTAGAATCAAAAGGGGTCAAAAGATTTGCTTTTTTTATTAGTAGTATAAATTTATACATGTCGACAGAAAACACATTCCAGAATGCCTTTAATAGCAGCACTGGGGCTGGCGCCGTGGGGCGGCAAGTTAACATACCATCTGTGATAGCATTCCATAAATGGTCCACTGTCAATCAAGCTGTCTGGTAATGCACCTGGGAAAGCAGAAGATGGCTCAAGCACATGAATCCCTATCTTTAGCTTGGCCTAGCACGAGCCACTGCAGCCATGTGGGGAGCGAACCAAGGGATGGAAGATTCATTCTCTCTCTCTGTAACTCTGCCTTTAGATAGCTTAGAAAAAGAATCGTAAAAAGAATAGCATCAAAAATTCCATTCTGAAGTAAAAGTGATTTTCGGGCTCTCAATCACTTTCCTCTCATATCTTCCTTCACAAACTTAAGTTGAGAGCATGGTGTTAAATATTTATCTGTTACTTTTTCCCTAATCTTATCTTATAATTCCATTCAATTAAGTTTAAAGTAAAAACTAGATCTAGAAATTTCAGGCTAAAATGGAATGGAATGACAGTGACTGGTGAATAATCAAATTTTTAAACTGAAAACTGAATTTATGATGCTTCACTATTTTCAGTTGTGAGTAGAAGTCTCTGATGACTTATCCTTTGAAAACTAATTCATGTAGAAATTCTATATTGCAGAAACTCTTCTAGCTTTCAGAGGCTCTGTTACTGATGATTTTTTAATACAGTTAATCAGAGGACTGATTAGTAAAAGGCGTAAAATAATCCCATCAAGCAGATTAAGTGTGCTGTGCATGAAACAGCCCCAGGAAACAGTCAGGGATCCAAACATTTCCCAGGGAAAAAAATTGAAAAGTCTGAAAATGAGAAATGTGGCTCTAAAGGTTATCTATAGCGAAATGTAGTTACAAGGGTATCTATACGTACCTATATACATGTGCTTAGTGTGTATGTAATGTTTCTGCATGCAAATTTGAGGACTAACTCCCAATAATCTAAACTTAATGAACAGGTACTTTCATTCATACTTTGGAATACAGTTTGGGCAATGTCTATAATCTAAGACACAACCATTGAATTTGGGCATGTAACCAACAGCTATGCATGTCTCCATAAACGCTAAAATGGATAAAAACTATTACAGTGTATTCATACAGTGACTATTATACAACAATGAAAAGAAAGGAACAGTTAGACTCAATATCAAAAGTAAATCTTAGATATATAATTTGGACTAAAAAGAAGCCATATCCAAAGGAATACATACTATGATTCCAATTTTAGAAATTGCAAAAATACATAAACCTAAGCATTCTCAAAACCAGAATGATAAGGAGGGATACAGTCCTGGAAAAGAATCAAAGGTCTTTCTAAGGTGCTGGTACTATGATATATCTTGATCCAGGAACTAATATCATCAATGTTTTTAATCCAAATTAATATATATAGAAAGAACAGATCACATGTTTGACACAGGAGTGAAAGTGTTGCCTGGGATGCCTACATCCCATCTCAAGAGTACTTGGTTTAAGTCCTAGCTACTCCACTTCTGACTCAGATTTCTGCTAATGCATACTTTGGGAGACATTCAATGATGGCTCAGGTACTTGGGTCCCTGCACCCATGCAAGAGGCTCATGTCAGATTGAGTTCCAGTCTCCTTGACTGGTATAGATATTTAGTAAGTGAACTAGCAGACAAAAGATGTGTTTTTCTTTCTGTGGCTTTCAAATAAAAGGAAGCAAACAATAACAACAACAACAAAAACCCACATGATAATGTAATGGACTAAGCCTCAGCATGCAATGCCAGCATCCCATTTGGTGCCAGTCCTGGCTGCTCCACTTTAATCCAGCTCCCTTCCAATGGTCCGGGAAAGCAGCGGAAGATGGCCCAAGTCCTAGGCCCCTGCACCTAAGTAGCAGACCTGGAAGAAGTTCCTGGCTCCCAGTTTTAGACCAGCCCAACTCTTACTGTAGCAGCCCTTTGGGGAATGAATGAACATATGGATGTTCTCTCACTGTACTCTGACTTTCAAGTAATATAAACTATTAAAAACAAAGAAAAGTTATACATAGATTAACTATCCAAACAAGGTACACAAAAGAAGGGATCTTCATGCAGCAGAATATAAAAATTCACTGAAAACAGATTCTCTAATTATCTGTTAAGAAACTGTCAGCTGTCTGGAGCTTGCATTGTGGTGCAGTGAAATGGACCATCACCCGACACACCAGCATCCCACATGGGCATCTGTTTATGCTCTGCCTATCCCACTTCAATCCAACACCCTGCTAAATAATGTCCTACTTCCAATCCAGTTCCCTGGTAATGGCCTGAGAAAAGTAATGGAAGATGGTCCAAATTCTTGAGCTCCTATCACCCTCCTCAGAGACCCAGAAAATGTTCCTGGCTTCCACATGGCTCTGTCCTGGCTGTTGTGGCTGCTTAGGGAGTGAACAAGCAGATGACAGGTCTCCCCGACTCCCTCTCTCTTTCTCCACGTCTGACTTTCAAATTGAACTATAAATCTTCCTTACAAAAAAGGCTTATTTTTTTAGTCACATATCTGTGAGAAGGCAAGTTTTCATCACTTACTTCAATCAAAACAACAAATTGCAACTGACTGCGTGCAGAACCAAATGTGATATTCCTGCTGTATCCTAATAAGCTGGACATTTGAAGACATTGCAAAAATGTAAAACAAAATCATTCCACTCTTTCCAATAATTATTTTGTTCCAGAGAAAGGTCATTGCTTGACATAAATCACAATATATTCTCATGTAATGGGCTTGCTACTTTTCATTTTAGAATAAAACAACCATGTCTTTAAATTTCTCAGTTTTGATTTCCAGTAAGGCAAACATCAATAAAATTAACTCATAAAACAAAATTTCTTTGAATAACTCAATAATTTTAAGAATGAAAGGGATCCTGAGACCAGAGTTTGAAAACCAAAGCAGGGCCCGGCAGCATGGCCTAGCGGCTAAAGTTCCTGGATCCTGGCTTCGGATAGGCATAGCATTGGCCGTTGCGCTCACTTGGGGAGTGAATAATTGGACGGAAGATCTTCCTCTCTGTCTCTCCTCCTCTCTATATATCTGCCTTTCCAATAAACAAATAAATCTTTAAAAAAAAAAAATCTAAAAAAAAAAAAAGAAAAGAAAACACAAAAACCATAGGGTAGTTTGGTATTACAAATTCTTGGAAGAGAACCAGGTTTTACATAGCCTAAAAGTATCTCTCCAAAGTACTTACTACTTATCATGAGAAAAACAATATCCTTACGGTGGAAAAAAATTAATAGAAGTCATTTTAACCAAGTAATCAAGGGCAACATTACTAGTAATAAGACATAGGGACATCATGACCTTGAAGTGCTATTCCAAGGACACACATCTTTTCCATGACACGCTTTGTCACAACATAAATCCTCATTTAGCTCATGAAAAAGCATCAGATAAACTCAAATTCAGTAATATATAAACAGTAGGTGATTTTTGAAAAGGTCAATAATCTTCCTATGTGTCAAGGTCATGAAATACAAGGATGGACTAAGGAATAATCACTGCCTCGAGGAGACTAAGAAATAACGAGTAGGGGCAGGCATTTAGCCTGGCAGCTAAGATCCGCTCAGGATGCGTCCATCCCTTACCAGAATGCCATGATGGGATTCCCAGCCCTGCTTCTGGGAGGCTGCACCCACAAGGCAGACCCTGCCACCCACAAGGGAGACCTGGATAGAGTTTCCAGCTTTCAGCTTGGTCCTAAGTCTGGCTCTAGCCATTGTGAATACCTGAGGAATGAACCAGCAGATGGGAGCACTCCCTCTATGCCTCGCAAATTAATTACTTACTTAATTAAACATAAATAACAAATGAAAGAAAGTAAAAAGTCAGTCATTTATTTTGTTATTCAGTCTTTCCATTACTCTTTTATTAGATCTTTGATTAAATCACATCAAAGGCAAATGTATTTTTACTTAAGACCTGAAAGACATTGACAAATGAAGTGTGTCTGGTACATAGTTGACACACATGAGAAAACTAAATATTACACATTAAATCAGGGTATCTTTTTTACTTAAAAAAATACCAGACAAGAAATAATGAAGACACAAGCAATATTTTAAAACAGAAATGATCTTGTTCATGTTAATATTGCTTCAATTCACACTTACCTCTCTGACTTCCACAAGATGGTCTGGAGGTGAGTGTGTTCTCTTGCTTACCGACTGCAGTTTGGAATGTCCAACATTAAAGAAAGAAATGGCATTTTGACTTGGTCTCCTCTGCGATATAGGAGAATTACCACTAGATGCAAGCGAGAAACTCCGTGACTTCAGAGGAGGATTATTCTGTTAGGCAAAGAAAATAATCATTTTAAATGCAGATATTTGAGACACAGTTTTAACAATTAAACTGATGTGGGTATGCTGTGGCATAGTGAGTTAAGCCACTGCAGGAGACACCTATGGCCTATATCAAGGGCCAGGAAGAACATTATCCATTCTGCTTCTGATCTCACTCCTACTAATTATGCCTGGGAAAGAGGGTGACGGTTCAAGGAATGAATTCCTGCCATCCACACTGGAGAGCAAGAGTCCCTGATCTCTGCCTTCAAACTGGTTAGTCTCTAGTGAACGAAATCAAAGACACAGTAGGAATCGACCTTAAATTCAGCAAGATGGCAACAGCAAAATTTTTTTTTAAAGGGCAAGTATTGAGATTTTTAGAGAAATTGCCACCTTCATACATTGCGGTGAAAATGTAAAATGCCAATTCTGCTTTCGAAAATATTTTAAAACTTCCTCAAAAAATTTAAATGCAGAACATATCTCGATAATTACACTCCCAGATAAACACAAACTTGGATACAAATGTTCAGAGTATTATTCATACTATTTATAAAATACAAACAACCCAAATTTCCATCAGCCGGTGAACGAACCACAAAATGTGGTACATCCATTCACAGAGTACTACTCAGCCTTCAGAGGTTTGCTGGGCAGGCCTGGCGGCACAATGGGTTAAGCTGCCATCTATGACCCAGGCATCCTGTACCACAGCACTGATTTGAATCCAGGCTGTGCCCCTTCTCACCCAGCTTCCTGCCAAGGTAAGTGGGAAGGCAATGGACGATGGCCCAAGTACGCCCCTACCATCCACATGGGAGAGTGGGGTGGTGTTCGTGCCTCCTGGCTCCAGCCTGGCCCAGCAGAAGTTACTGTGGCCATTGAAGAATGAATCAACAGATGGAACCTCTCTTCCTTTGTCTCTCCTGCTCTGGCACTCTCACACAAACAAATCTTGAAAACCAATGAATATTTACTGGCACATTTGATATCATGGATGAATCTTAGAAATATTAGGTGAGCAAAGTCAGACACAACAAACCACACTTTATATGATTCCATTTGGATGAAACGCCCAGAATAAGATGCATGAAAACAGAAAAGAAATTAGTGTTTGCTGCTAAGAACAGATCAGAGAGCTACTGTAGAAGGATATGAGTTTACGGAGGCAGTAATTAAAATTTTGTTGAATTAAATAGTGGCAATGGCTGTATAACCTTGTGAATATATCAATAATTTTTTTTTTAAATCTGCTGGGTTATATATCTTCAAAGGGCAAATTTCATGGTATGTGAATTACATCTGAACTTTAAAATGCACTTCAATAACATTTTCTCCGCATGCTATGGTTTGGAAACTGTTTACATCATCAGCCCCTCAAAAATTCATGCATTCAAAGTTTAGTCCTCAGTGTGGCGTTGCTGAGGCACAAGAACTTTTATCAGGCAGAATCTAAAAGAAAGTAACTGGGTCGTAAGTGGGATGCTGCCTTCAGAAGCAACTATTAGAGTTCTCAGGGGCTCTGGTTAGTTCTCACAGGAATGAGTTGTTATAGAAAGAGCAAATCTTGCCCCTCTAGCCTCTGGCTTCTTGTGTCACCATATGATCTCCTTCATATGAAGCCTTCCCTAGAAGCCAAGTAAATGAGTTCCCCTTCTTGGATTTCCAATCTTCTAAACCATGAACTGCATGAACACTTCTTTAAAAATTACTCAGGCTCAGTTATTTTGCTATGGCAGTAGGAAACTGACTAAACCCACGTTTGCACATGAATATCATTTCTAAATTCTGCATTACCTTCCCAATAGCTTCAGTGTGGTGCTGTGTACATATCTGAAGTCGGCTAACCCAATGCTGTCGCTCTTTAGCATCCGTGGCTGGTAAAAAGAATGTAAACGTTATTTACTGTTGGTTTCTCTCCTGAATATGATTGCTTAAAGTATGAAGAATAAACCACTGAAAAGCAGAGACTGGGGCTGCTCCCTCTGCAGCCAATGTCCCTGACTTGAGAGACACAGGCCAAAGCCAAAGCATCAACCTTCTTAGCAAGCAGAGTAGACGGCTGTGCCTATTCCAAAAGGAAGACAAATGACAAATAGACACAAGGACATGAGACTGACATGTCCTAAAACTCTCATAATAATATGCTCTCATTTGAAGAAAAAAGGTGTGGGCATTGTTGCACAGTGGGTTAAACCACCAGTTGGATTCCCCACTTACCCTTTAAGAGTACCAGTTTTAGTCCTGGCTGCTCTGCTTTCTAACAATCTTCCTGGCATAGCATCCTGGGAGACTCAAGTATTATGGGTCCCTGCCATCCTTGGGAAAGACCCAGATGGAACCTGGGGTTCTAGACTTGTGCCTGGCCTAATTTTCTTTTTAAATAATGAAGTGGGGCCTGGTGCAGTAGCCTAGTGGCTAAAGTCCCACCATGCATGTGCTGGGATCCCATATGATTATTGGTTCGTGTTTCAACTGTTTCACTTTCCCACCATCTCCCTTCCTGTGACCTGGGAAAGCAGTCAAGCATGGCTCAAAACCCTGGGACCCTGCACCTGCATTAAAGACCCAGAAGAAGCTCCTGGCTCCTGGCCTTGGATTGGCTCAGCTCTGGCCATTGTGGCCATTTGGGGAGTGAACCAGTAGACAGAAGATCTTCCTCTCCGTATCTTCTTTTCTCTGTAAATCTGTCTTTCCAATAAAATAAATACTAAAAATAAGTAAATCAATAAATACCTACTAAAGATCTGCTGTAAAATCACATGTTCAGATCTGTTGCAGTAAGTTTAGCACGAATCACATTATATTTTATATGTATTCATTAAAATCACAAACTTCTGTATACATTAAATCCACAGAATACGACATTTCAACAAATTCCAACAATGGATATTAGCCACTGGAAACTACAAAGAAGGCAGACACATCAAACCAACTGAAGAGGCAAAATACATGTTTTATATTTCAGTCATCAGGTTTTCCTTACACAAATCAAATTTTCAGAGTTCAATCCTAAACAAAGTTGCTCATTGACTCTTGAGAAAGTCAATTATTGAAACAAATTTTATAAATTCTCAGAGCAGTTTCAAGATTTAGAGTACTGTGTTTATATCCCTAATGACAGCAATTTCTATTTCCAAAGGAGGAAAATCAGAGCATTGGTTCAAGAATCCCCGCCGTACCTCTGAGTTTGTACTGCTCCCCACTGGCAGCGTTCACGGTGAAGGTGTGCGAGTCCTCATCGCTGGGTGATATTACGGCTCCTGCAAGCTGCAAGGTGCCTCTGGGCTTTTGATTTCTAGACTGTTCAGTCACAAAGTACTCCAACAGTCCAGCTTCATTGTTCAAAACAAAAAACCTGTAAGGATTAAAAAAGTAAAAACTTTCAACTGTTATCCTAGCTAAATGGAAACAAAGCAAACATCAAGCACTTATATACTTCTACTTTTGATACTTTAAAAAATTTGTTTCAAGAACTTTCCTTCCTTTTCTCTCTAACTCTGCCTTCCAGAAAAATAAATATTTTTAAAAACCAGTGGGGAAGAGGAGTTAAGGGATGGTTGGTGCTGTGGTGTATCAAGTAAAGCCACTGCCTGTGGCGCTGGCACCTGATATTGTTACTGGATCACAACCTGGCAATCCTACTTCCAAACCAGTCACCTGCTCATACACCTGGAAAAGCAGCAAAGGATGGGTCAAGTACTTGGGCCCATGTACTCATAATAAGAGAAACTTGGAAGAAGATTCTGGCTCCTGTCTTTGGACTGGCTCAGTTTTGGCTGTTGTGGCCATTTAGGCAATGAACCAGCAGATGGAAGATATCGCCCTTTCTCTCTCCCTCTCTCTGTGTAACTCTGCCTTTCAAATAAGTAAAAATAAATCTTTAAAAACAAATTCCAAACCATTTGAGGAAGTTCAGTAGTCCTGCCTTATCTAAGGTTTTGCTTTCACAGCCACAGTTCAAAAATATCAATACGATGGCATAGCACGCTAATATTCCAGTTGGCCAGTTGGAGTTCCAGCTACTCCAGCTCCTTGCTTATAGTCTTGGAAAGCAGACTAGGATGACTCAAGACCCTAGTCCCCTGCAGCCACACGGCAGCGGACCAGGAGAAGCTCAAGACCTGGAGAAGCTCCTGGCTCCTGACTTCAGATCAGTTCAGTTCTGGCCACTGTGGCCATTGGGGTGTGAACCAACAAATAAAAAACTCTGTCTAGCTCTGTCTTTCCTCTCTGTAAATCTACCTTTCAAATAAAAATGAAATCTTAAAAAAAAAAAAAAGAAGAAGGCCCGGTGGCGTGGCGTAGCAACTAAAGTCCTCGCCTTGAACGCCCCGGGATCCCATATGGGCACCAGTTCTAATCCTGGCAGCTCCACTTCCCATCCAGCTCCCTGCTTGTGGCCTGGGAAAGCAGTCAAGGACGGCCCAAAACCTTGGGACCCTGCACCCATGTGGGATACCCGGAAGAAGTTCCTGGATCCTGGCTTTGGATAGGCATAGCATCGGCCATTGCACTCACTTGGGGAGTGAATAATTGGACGGAAGATCTTCCTCTCTGTCTCTCCTCCTCTCTGTATATCTGCCTTTCCAATAAACAAATAAATCTTAAAAAAAAAGAGCTACAAATGGAGATGCATAATCATGAGGAAATTGAGAATAAACAATTAAATATTTATATACTTTGGGAAAAGAGTCTGATACTTTAATTCCGTTCTAGATTAATTAACTACTTTTAGAATTATGCTTATTCAGAGACAACTTTAGGTTGTATAATGTTTTGTTGTTTTAAAAATAACTTTAAAAAATTTTTAAAATCCACACTTGATCTTATAGCATTTTGTCTTTCTACATATTAGCCTGTTCTGCAACACAATCTGATCCACTGCCAATTGCTGGAAGACAATCGTCACCTCAAACAACATGGCAACCACACCTCACTCAATCAGGGAGAGAAGGAGATCACCTGAGCAGAGGTAGGAAACCAAAACTTCTTCTACATCTTTTTGTATGCCACTAATTTTGAAAATTTTATGCACATCCTTTTATGAAAAGTATAAATTAATTTTAATATTTTCCAGTTTTAAAACTTACATTTAATTCATCATTAGAGCTTACTGTTTGTATGTGTTTATTAACTATGTAACTCTAGTTAACTACCAGTCCCATTTTTTCCACTTCTAATAGTATTTACCTTTATTCCTCCAAAGCTTTTGAAGAAACTTTTTAAAGTATTTGATGATTTATTTACTTGTTGATGTGTTATGTTAGAGACAAAGAGACAGAAAGACTTTCCATTCACTGGTTGACTCCCCAGATGTTCCCCAGTGGCACTGGGTCCAAGACAAAGCCAGGAGCCTAAGCCTTAGTCCCAGGCTCCCACAGGGGTGGCAGAGACTCAATTTCTTATGTAATCACCTGCTTCCTCCCAGGATGAATGGCATCAGGAAGCTGAAATCAACAATGGAGGTAGATTTTCAGTCAGGCCTTCCACTGTAGGATGCTGATGTCCTAAATGGCATCTTAACTGCTTGCCCAAACGTTAGTATTCAGTCATTCACTCATTTGAAAGGCTGAGAAACAGACTGACAGAGTTATCACCTGTCTGTCTATTTCTCAAATACAAGTAACAGCCAGCGTTGGACCAGAGCTGAAGCTGGGAGCTGGGAATGAAGTCCACATCTCCCACTCAACTATCAGAAACCCAATTAGTTGGGTCATCACCACTACTCCCTGTGAGCCACATGAGCAGGATTCTGGAATCCAGAGCTGGGAATCAAACCCAAGCACTCAGATATGGGATGCAGCATACTAACCAGAGACCACTTCTGTAGCAATGCTTTGAGTTAGCAAAATATAGCCCTTGACAAATGTCTAATACATACAACCTGTTCTCAGTAAAATGCACAAGTGTATATTCCACCAAAAGAGCCATTAAAAAAAAGTTCAAAGTTACACATATGACCCAAATTGTCTTCAATTAAAAAAAAAAAAGTCATATGGGGGGGCCAGAGTTTTGATACAGCCAATTAAGGAGCCACCTTCAACACCAGCATCCCATATAAATATCAGTTTGAGTTTCAGCTGCTCCACTTCTGATCCAGCCCCTTGTTACAAGCTTGGGAAAGCATGAGAAGATGTCCTAAGTCCTTGGGCTCCTGATACTAACATGGGAGACCCAGAAGGCTTACACCTGGCCCAGCCCCAGCTGTTTCAGCCATTTGGGAGTGAATCTATATTTTCTTTTTCTCTTTCGGGTTCTGCCATTCAAATAAATATGTAAATTTTTTAAAAATAAAAATCAAATCAGATAATCACAATTTTCATCTTTAACTGCCTAAAAATCATTATTTCATACATCATGTCATAGTTTTTACTTGTCTGAGGTAGGAAGCCAAATCCAGCTCTTGTTATTTCATCCTAATCAATAGCAGCAGTCACCAAATGATACACAAATTTAAAATAAGCACAATATGGCACATAAACTTTGTAAATACAACTGTGTCTGTAAAAGACTCTGGAGTCAAAATTAACTAGGTTCAATATTCAGCTTTTCCACTTCTATTTATTTATTTCTATTTGAATAGCAGAATTACAGAAAGAAGGACAGACAGAGATTTTGCATTTACATAGTTTACTTCCAATTGCCTGCAATCGCTGCAGCTCAGCTGACCCAAAGCCAGCAGCTTCTTCTGGGTCTCCCGTGTGGATACAAGGGCTCAAGGACTTGAGCTACTCTCTGCTGCTTTCCCAGGCCATAAGCAGGAAGCTGGTTGGGAAGTGGAGGAGCTGGGACTAGAATCCGTGCCAATATGGGACATCAACACTATAGGCTGAGGATTAGCCTGTTTAGAACTGCACCAGTCCCTGAACTGTCTTTGTAAAGCAAACTAATATCACTTCACACTCATCAGGATGTCTATTAACTAAAACAAGACAGAAAATCACCAATGTCGTCAAGGATGTGGATACACTGAATCCTTGTGCATTGCTTGATGGGATTGTAAAATGGGACAGTCACTGTGGAAAACAATATGGAATTTCCCCAATGAAAAATATTATCCAGTAACTCTGAGTACAGATATAGAAGTGAGAACATGAATTTGAACACTTGGGCATTTCACGATAGTCTAGTGGCTAAATTCTTGCATTGCAACTTCTGGTTTGTGTCCTGGCTGCTCCACTTCCCACCCAGCTCCCTGCTTGTGGCCTGGGAAAGCAGTCGAGGACAGCCCAAAGCCTTGGGACCCTGCACCCGCGTGGGAGACCCGGAAGAAGCTCCTGCCTCCTGGAATGAGATCGGCTCAGCTCTCGCCATTGCGGCCTCTTGGGAAGAGAATCAGTAGATAGATCTTTCTCTCTGACTCTCCTTCCCTCTGAATATCTCACTTTCCAATAAAAAATATTAAAAAAATCAGAAAAGATTTTGAACACTCATATAATAATTGCATTATTCACAACAGCCTCAAGATGGGGATAACACATGTTCATCTATAGATCAATGGGTAAACAAAATGTCATATATACAATATACAAGGAAAGACACCTAGAGACATGCTATGACACAGAAGGATCTGTAACACAATCCTAAATGAAAAGACAAATATGTGGCCTGGTGCAATAGTCTATCAGCTAAATCTTCCTCTTGCATCTGCCAGGATCCCATGTGGGTGCCAGTTTATGTACCAGCTACTCCACTTCCCATCCAGCTCCCTGCTTGTGGTCTGGAAAAGTAGTGGAGGATGGCCCAAACCCTTGGGATTCTGTACCCATGTGGAGACCCAAAAGATGCTCCTGGCTCTTGGCTTCAGAATGGCTCAGTTCTAGCCATTGTGGCCACTTAGGGAGTGAACCAGCAGATGGAAGATTTTACTTTCTGTCTCTCCTTCTCTCTGTAGGTCTGCCTTTACAATAAATATAAATGAAATCTTTTAAAAGAAACTTTACAAAAGATCAAACATGCTTTGATTCCAGTCATATGAATGTGGTGCCGGGAGCAGTCAAATTCATAGTGACCGAGGGTAAGTAATAGTCAATAGGGACGAGGGGAGGGGCAGTACTGCACAACGGGTATGGAGCTGCAGTCAAGAAAATGCAAAGCTTTGGGAGATGGATGGTAATGACAGCTCCATCTAATATCTGAAAATCAAAGATTTTATGCATATTTTGCCACACTAAAAAATTCAGTTTGACACAGTTGTTGAGGCACAGCAGCATCCAACAGTCAGAGCGCCGGTTCAAACACCAGCTTCTTCCCTTCTGATTCAGCTTCCTACTAATGCATCCTGGGAGGCAGAAGATGGCTCAGGTACTTGCACCCCTGCCACGACTAAGTGGGAGAGCAGACTGGGCTCCCGGCTTTGGCTTAACTCCTGCTCAGCTATTGTGGACATGTGGGAAGTAAACCAGTGGACAGAGAGATGTGTTCTCTTTCTCTCCTTCTCTCTGCCACTCTGCCTTTCAAGTAGATCAAAGTAAATAAACACCTTAAAAACAATAAAATTTAACGCCCTTCCCAAGCTCAAAAAGGAACAGAGATAACTGGTTTCCTATTATTGACTGCTCGTGTGGTCTTGCGTTGGTTACTTAACCTCTCTGAAGTGCCACAAAAGCTTTGAACATATGGCACAAATACAAATGTGTTTGCTGCCTCCAAACCTCTATTCTGCCAAGAGCCTAAACTCTGCAAATATTAAAAGCCGGAGGCAGATGACCTGTAGTAGCAACTTCTGAGGCATTTCAGGCTGCCACTTGGCCTGCGGACAGCTCCTCCCACCATCTAAGAACAAAATCACTTACAGAAAACATGGTAGATCCTTTTCTGAAATCTTTAATAGTCATGTTTTCACCAAGATAATAATAGAATGGAAAACAATCAGCCCCTTCTTTCTGGCCTTTCCGAAGAGATAGATGTGACATAAGTTACACTTACCTGTACTGCCACCCAGTGACAAGATTGGTGTACTTCATTAAGTAACCATACACGTTTTCCATGTGGTCACTGTTTCCAAAAGAAGATAGGGGAATCAAAATTAGAAAAAAAATAGAAGAAATCTCAGTAAGAGAACTGCACAGTTTTGAAAATAGTTGCAGACATGCATTTTTTTTCTATAAATGCCTCAAACATTCTTCACTAGTAAAATTTATAGGTTAACAATCAGACCTTTAACCACCCCAATCTCATATCTGTAGAATTTATTTTATCAGATTTCTTCAACACAAGTATAATACCATTATAACTCCCTAAGTATGATTACAAACATTGCAGATATAAAATTCCTAAACACTATATTATATGACCATAAAATAAATGTATAAAATATAAACATTCTACTGTAAGTGAAAATACATTATTTGTAATTTTCCAATAGTGAAGCAATAAAATCCAGTCTGACAGCTCAAAAATACATTGAGAAAAGTTTCCTCTGACTGGTGACGCACACACATGGACAACCTGCTAGGTCTCTAACTCTCTGTTTCTAAAATGAAGATCTCGCCAATAAACAGAGTTTGACAATTTTCTCCCATTGCCACACCCGAGACAGGCATGAGCCAGAGTGTTCACTGCAAGTCTCAACATCAGGAGGAGTTGATGTACAACCAAGTTTCTTCATTCCCTGTTCTCCCTTTTTTCATTTATTTACACATATGGTCTGTCAGCATTCCAGAGGAAATACAATATAGCATGGTATTTCTCCTCCATTTAAAAAAAAATACTTATTTATTTATTTGTTTGTTGGAGAGGCTAATTAACAGAAAGAGAAAGAAAGGGTCCAGCATGATGACCTAGTGGTTAAATCCTTGCCTTGCATCCACCAGCATCCCATATGGGCCACGGTTCATGTTCCAGCTGCTCCACTTCCCATCCAGCTCCCTGCTTGTGTTCTGGGAAACCAGTTGCGGATGGCCCACAGCCTTGGGACCCTGCACACACACGAGAGACGTAGAAGAAGCTCTTGGCTTCTGGCTCTGGATTGGCTCACGTCCAGCTGTTGTGGCCACTTGGGAAGTGAACCAGTGGATGGCAGGTTTTTCTCTCTGTCTCTCCTTCTCTCTGTATATCTGCCTTTCCAATGAAAACAATAAATCTTTAAAAAAAGAAAGGGAGGGAGGGAGGGAAGGAAGGAGGGAGGCAAAGAGAAACAGGACTTGCATCCACTGGGTGTTTTATTTTCAGTTCGATTTTTTTGTTATTGTTTCATTGTTATTTGACTATATTATTTTATAAAGATTTATGTATTTATTTCCATTTGAAAGGCAGAGTTACAGAAAGAGAAGACAGATGGAGAGATCTTCCATCCACTGGTTCACTCACTAAATAGCTACAAGGTCCAGAGCTGGGCCAATTTAAAGCTAGGAGCCAGGAGCTTCTTACACATCTCCCAGCTAGGTGCAGGCGCCCAAGGACCTGACCCTCCTCCACTGCCTTCCCAGGCCATTAGCATGAAGCTGGATGGAAAATGGAATTGCCATGACTTGAACCTGCATCCATTTGGGTTACTAGCATTGCTTGCAGAAGCTTAGTTGACTATGCTTCTTTTTATTTATATTATTTATTCAAAAAGTAGCAACAGAACAAGAGAGGTAGATAGATCTCCCATCCACTCATTCATTACCTAAATGCCTACCACATTTGGGGCTAGGCCAGACCAAAGCCAGGAGCCAGAAATTCAACCCAGTTTTCCCACGTGAATATCAAGAACCGAATTATCTGAGCCATCACCTGTTGCCTCCCAGTATGTGTACTGGCAGGAAGTAAAATTAGATTGGAGTCAGGACTCAAATCCAGGCATTTGGGTCAATAAAGCATGGCAGCTGTCCTGAACCACATCTTAACAGTGTGTCAAATGTCTGCACATTTTTCTGCCTTCTCCTATTCCAAGGGTTAGGCAGCAATTCTGTTTATCAGGTCAAACTGCTCAAGTCCTATTTGGTTTCATAAAACAACCCATCTCAGGAAGACAAAGGCTGCAAGCTTCTAAAATGTTAACCCAAAGTCCTGCTAATGAGAAATCAGCCATTCCGTTGTATTAAACCGACATCTCCAGCTCAATTCTTTCCCCATTTTCTAGAGCAAACAACCACAGCAACAAAGCTCTTGCTACATTTCTCACACTTCCAGCCCTGGTCACCGTCAAGCCATTTCTTTCAGCTCCTTTAGTGCTTAGACAAGCACAGACATATTTTTCTTGTCTAGTTTCCAAATGTTTCCCAAATTTGGGGCTTAAACAGTACTTGGGACCACAGGAATCCCAAAACCCCTGGACTCTGTCCAAGAAAAGTCTCCCTAAAGAGTTCCTCCTCTAATTTTGGTTCTTAACACACAGCTCAGCTTCCGCAAATTGTTCTTGCGCAAAACATTTGTTTCTTTTGTCCATTCTGTCCCGGAGCTTCCTAACCTCAGTATTCATTTAGACTCAGCAATAATCCAGAAAAATGCCCACGGCAGCATAGCATCTAAATTAATATGTCCCTCAGGTGCCAAGACACTCCATAACACACCATTTGGGGAAATCCACCCTTTAATCCAGGTTCTCTACACCAACACTGCATTACTAGGTATCTATTCAAAGCAATTAGCATGTCACAAAAACATTACAGCAATTATAGCGCTATGCCTCAGGTTCTAGGACTACTATGTAGTCTTCAAATGCATACGAACCATGAAGATAAATTTGCACAAAAACTCAAGTATACTATCTACACCTGAGAAAACAAAACTTTTGTATCAAACCCTTTAAAGAAAATGCATCATCTCCTTTACTTTTATCCAGTCACTTCCCTTATATTATTAAAGTATCCCTCATTTTAGTCACACCTAAGTTATTTGTATCATTCATTCAATAAATTTTTTTAAAAGCATACAATTTTGGGGCCAAGTAGTAGCACAGTGGCTAAAGTTCTCACCTTGCACACCCAAGATCCCATATGCATGCAGATCACATATGGGTACTGGTTTATGTCCCAGCTGTTCCACTTCCCATCCAGCTCCCTGTTTGTGGCCTGGGAAAGCAGTCGAGGACGGCCCAAAGCCTTGGGACCCTGCACCCGCATGGGAGACCTGAAGAAGTTCCTGGCTCCTGGCTTCGGATCAGCTTTGCCCTGACCGTTGTGACCACTTCTGGAGTGAATCAGTGAATGCCAGACCTTTCTCTCTATATCTCTTTCTCTGCATATCTGCTTTCCAATAAAAATAATATAATAAATATATTTTTTAAAAAGCAAACAATTTCATACGTCAATTTCAATAACATTTTTCTTCATATTTCACAATGCAGAAATATTTTGTGTGTGCAATTTTCTGATGTTATAAATATTTTACTGAAGTTTACATCTAAAAAGTTAACTCATAAAAATTACAAGGACACCAACATTTAAAAATTCTTTTTTTGGGTGGGGGCAGGGGGTAGCAGCAAGAGAAAGAGAGCCCCATCTGTAGGCTCACTCCCTGCCACAGCTGGTGTTGACATGGTCTGTCTGACGCAGCAGAAAGCCAGCCTGAGAAGCAGCAGAAACCGAAACCAGCAAATATAAACTGTTGGCCTGGCTTTACTGTATGAAACAGCTGCCTGCAGGGTATCATGGCCCATTCTCTTTGTAAAAGAGGCTGTCCTGGGCCCGGCACGGTGGCGCAAGTGGTTAAAGGTCCTCGCCTTGCACGCCCGGGATCCCATATGGGCGCCGGTTCTAATCCCGACAGCCCCGCTTCCCTTCCAGCTCCCTGCCTGTGGCCTGGGAAAGCAGTCGAGGACGGCCCAAAGCTTTGGGACCCTGCACCCGCGTGGGAGACCCAGAAGAGGCTCCTGGCTTCGGATCGGCATAGTATCGGCCCGTTGCGCTCACTTGGGGAGTGAATCATCGGACGGAAGATCTTCCTCTCTGTCTCTCCTCTCTGTATATCCGCCTTTCCAATGACAAAATAATAAAAATAAATCTTTAAAAAAAAAAAAAGAGGCTGTCCTGGCTCTCTCTCATTTTTCCCATTTTCCATAAACTCCACAGATGAGCTGCTCCTCAGAGCAGCCTGTGATGTGGAACAACTGTGCCATCTGGTGGCCATCATCAAAAGTTTTGTGATAGGTCATGTTATGTTGCCACTTTTTTTTTTCTTTAAGATTTATTTATTTTTAGGGTCCGGCACGGTGTTCTAGTGGCTAAAGTTCTCGCCTTGAATGCTCCAGGATCCCATACGGGCACCAGTTCTAATCCTGGATGCCTCATTTCTCATCCAGCACCCTGCTTGTGGCCTGGGAAAGCAGCCTAACACTGCCCAGGAGCTTGGGGGCCCTGCACCCATATGGGAAACCCAGAAGAAGCTCCTGGTTTCTGGCTTCAGATCGGCTCAGCTCTGGCTGTTGTAACCACCTGGGGAGAGATTTAGTGGATTGGAAGGCAGATAAGAGAGAAGGAGAGACAGAGAGACAGAGAAGATCTTCTGCCCGATGATTCACTCCCTAAGTAGCCGGAACAGCCGGTGCTGCACCGATCCAAAGTTAGGAGCCAGGAACCTCTTCCGGGTTTCCCACATGGGTGCAGGGTCCCAAGGACCAAATAGCATCATTACATTTGCACTCATCTAGATATTTTAATAGTGATTGTTTTAATTACAACACACTTATTTTTTAACCCATCCTTACCACACTAAAAATATATCTAAAATTCGGGCTACCACTTAGGCACAGCAGGATAACCTACTGACTATAGTACTGACATCCTGTATGGGTGCCAGTTCGAGTCCCAGCTGCTCCACTTCTAATCCTCCTGCAAATGCACCTGGGAAAGCAGCAGAAGATGGTCCAAGTCTTTGCACTTGGCTACCCATGTGAGAGACCTGGAAGAAGTTCCTGGCTTCTGCCTGCTCCAGTCCCAATCATTGTGGTCATCTGGGGAGTAAACCAGCAAAGGGAAGATTGCTCTGTCTCTGCCTTTCACTTTCAACCTGCAACTCTGCCTTTCAAATACACACACACACATTAGAAATTACGCTACTTTTTCAGTGGT